TTTCCTTTTGGATGATTCTTTTTGTGTTTTTATTTGTCAAAGAGGATACCTTAACTAATTAACTTTTACATATATATAATATAATAATTGTCAGGACAACCACTCTAGAAAGACCAGGCTGTGGATAAACAAGATTCTTTGTGAAATGGTAAAATTTGACCGAACCTGTGCCTTTTCTGTAGAGGCAGCAGATGTTTAAAATAAAACAATGACATTTACCTGTGTAGCTTTTCATTAAAATTGTACTAATCCTTTTTTCATTCTTTTCAGAATCTTAGACTTGAGTGAAGCTGTGTCACCAACATATTCATGTTCAAGCTTTATAGCCACCTGTGCAATTGTCAGAATTATCTTTATGTACTTGCAAATGATCATTTTAGACATCTTTGTGTTATTCCACTTGTCCTTCTAATGTTTTGCCCAGAGTGGACTTAAATAAATAAATATAACAATAATTTAGTGCAACAATCAGAAAAACCCTGAGTATTATTACAACCCAGAAGGTTTCTATCAGAAGTATTAACAGAAAGCCCAGAGGAATCCGATAGAGCTGGTTGTTGTGGTCCCTACAAACAATAATGGGCCTTGAGCCTCATTATTGCTTGTTTTTAAATGTGTTCCTATGCCATCTTCTATCAACATGAATGCATTTTAAAAGATTACTTTGCACCTCTGGGTCATATTAAACCAAATAACTGCTCACAATTATGTTTTCCTAATTATGATTATTTCATGATTACATTACAGAGCTCCCTTGTCGTAGCAAAAACACAACATGGTCTCCAGGCTATTGAGGGAGAGAGGTGACAGTGTCACTAAAACCAATTAAAAAGCTATCAGAGGGAGCTGAAAAGAAAACATTTCCTATTAGATTGCAAAGTTAACCACTGGCCTGAGCCAAATGTGGCCACAGGAGCACTAAGATGTTATTACTCTCTGCAGACGCTGTGTTATTCCTCCGTGGCGTTGGATGCTAAAGTGGGCTCAGTAATGACCACTAACAGCACTCCACACTGCTGTTCCAACGAATAGCACATCAGGAGCGCTTGTCTCTACTCGACTTGTCATTGTTCACATGAACTCTCAAAGGCATCTGGTTAATTTTAAATGCATTATTTTTCTCCAGCGTAGGGATGCAGGGGCGTGCAGAAGGGCATGGGTGGGATTGTCCTTCCCTGGAATCTTTTTGATCCCTCCACAATTAGTGCCCTCAAAATAAAGTCTTCACTGATTTTGTCATTTTAAAGTTCTCCTGCTTTTTTATCAAGTTGAAATGATTATGTTGTTCATTTTAATATTTTGTGCAGTCAAGCACACCTAACCACACACATACACTGATTAGCCGCAACATTATGGCCACCGACTGGTGAAGTCAATAACACTGATTATCTCATTATAATGGAACCTCTCCCACCCAGACTACTGGGTCAGAGCATCTCTAAAACTGCAGCTCTTGTGGGGTGACTGAAGGTAGAAAAATCTTCCTAGCAGCACCTACATTATTTCTTCAAACCGTGCAGACTTAAGTGTAAAGACAGCAAGTGATGGTTTTTTGGGAGGTTACTTCATGAAGTCACTGCTCCGGGGCTAAGGAATAGTCCAGCACATACGACCCAGTAAAACCACAAACTGCCAGGCAAACTCTTTCACCCTATTTCCAGTCTTAATGCTAAGCTAAGCTAACTGTCTCCTGACTGTAACTTCATATTTAGCATGCAGACATGAGACTTGTACTGATATTTGCATCTAGCTGTCTGCAATAAAGTCCCAGAATATCAAACTATCACGTTATGTGTTAATAAGTATGTCTATGTCCTACTCTGAATTGAATCTCATGTTTTTTGTTTCAATTTCTTCTTCTCTTTTTCCTTGTTTTGTGAATATTTGTTCAAATTATGTGTATGTTTAGCACCAAACCGGATCAAATCATGTACTAACAAGATAAGAAAACCGATGCTGAAATGTAAAACACTGCTGTTGATATAAAAGATAAATAGGATAAAAGGATAATATCAGACATCAAACAAGCAATAAATATTTTAATACACCAGTAAGGGTCCAAACCTTAATTAAACCGAAGGCATAAGTCACATATCATCTTAGCTACAGGTATAGGCTATTAATTAGAGAACTAAATTAATATTTTAAGACCACTATAAGGACATTGATCCGATCGTGCTTTGCTTGCTGAGCTCAGGGTTGACAACGGAGAGCCTCCCCAACAAGCCAGTCTTGAATCTTGCTCAGGGCTTCATAAACACAGGTTTATAACAGTATACAGTATAATCTACAGAAAAGTCTCTAAAACCAGACACCCCTCTCCGAGCTTGTGACCCCACCCATTGAAAATGTTGTAGATATGCCCCTGAAAGGATTATTGTGTAAAAGCTCTTAACTTAAATAAATCCCACTTTCTTCCCAGAATATAGCACTCATCTCTTCATGTCCCAGTAGTATTTCCTGGGATATCCAGTTTTTAGGAGTTAAAGGGCTTAAGAGACTGTTCCCACAAGCACTACCATTTCTACAGTATGTTTCCTGAGCAGCAAAAGGAACTCACATCAACAGGATATGTGATATGTGCATACATTAGAGTGTGTTTAAGTCTGTATAAGGGTATAAAACACATGAGGGTTGTGAATGTACCATCATTAAAAAAAAACTCAGCTGGCTACCGTCTATAAGGGGGCATGGCAGTAAGCTCTGAGCCCAGCACGCAAGTCACATAACTTCCCTCAACATATGTGTGAAGGGACTAAGGATCAGATTAAACACAGGCAGTGACACATACACACGGCAAACACTCATCCATGTGTTGATGAACCTGTTGTCTTCCTTGACTGTGAAAGCTGATTTTTGAAGCTCCTTGGATAATCAGGTTGGAGGACGGTAATAGCCTGTGGCAATGGTGGGAGTGACGGCATTGGTAGCTGCGCTCAGGCTCGTCGCCTCCGCCAGATACAGTTACGTCTAAGGTACTGTAAGTCACCCTGACCCCCCTGAGGGGACAGGTCCCTTGAGTAAATGGTCACGACCTGGGCAACATCATTAGGCGATTGCTGTGTGGCAGCAACTCCTTGGCAGAGTGATAAGCAGAAACACTCTTCTGGGAAATGCTTACAGTGCACTTAGAGGTGACAGAGATAATATGGGCCATGCACTTGTTATTCTCTGCAGAGCTGCACATCATTTGTACGCTTCAGCTATAAATAAAGCTTTGTCACAAACCAAGATACGGAGTCTGGATGATGCACTGAGCTGCAAGCGTACTGAAATCTGTGATTTCTAATTGACCGTTTACTAAGCCCTTCCCCCAAACAGCAATTGTCCAATCATAGCTTATTGTAGAGTTCAGGTTTACACTGCATCAAAACAGAAATTATGATTAAAATCTATTTAATGTGTCCATAACACCATGGTCTTTCTTTCATTTTCTTCAAGTTGAAATAATCAATTATCAGTATTTAGTTTACCCAAGCATTGTAGTATCTGTCTCTGAGAAAAGAGTTGTATTTTTGACTCTAATGTGATGTTCTTATGTTCTTTTCAACTGGCAGATATTATCCTCTACAGGAGTGTGAGAGAGTGTGAGTGTGTCTGTTTGATGATTTTTGATGCCGAAGTTCTAACAGCTTTGATGGACAGCAGACATCTTCGCACACATTTTCACAGAGCCCTGAAGAAAAGTTTTCAAAAATGTCAGCCCATTCAGATGAAAGCAACAGCAACAAGCACCATCTATCGACTGACAGGCTGACAAGCAGCTATTAAACCCAGTTGAACTGTTGACGTGAAGTCACAGCACCAAGAATAATCATAAAGCTCAGCGAGATATTATCTATGCCGATGATGGAAACAAAAAAAATAAAACATACTCAAAACAGCTGTTTACTGAAGGGAGGTGATATCTCAAAAGGGCAAATTTGCCCGCATTGTTTGTGTAATTAGGCATTGAGGTATTTTTTTAAAGTGGCAGCAAACAGATGGACTTTGCAGCTGCAACCATCTATCAGCCATAACGCAAAAAAATACTGCATCTCTTACAGGGTCTGCAAAGACTCACAGAGAACAAGTGTAGGTTGGTTTCCATAGGGAGCAAAGCTAATCAGCCATTTCTAATTTTTGGTTTGAGTGACACCAACCGAGCTCGGAACACCCTTGAAATACAGGCTCGAAGCATTAACTCAAATATCCATCTATCGCTTTACCTTGACCTTTCATGCGACCCAAAACCATTAAACAACTCCCATGTGAGTCAGAAATGAGATGATTGCTATCTCGCCTTAATTTGCCATTTCAACATAAGACGGACGTCAGAATGAGCCACCAAGTGTAATTGCCCTTGTCTAGTGCGCTAGATTGTTGGTTCTCCGTAAGAAAGAGACAGCAGGCGTCCTTCATTTGCCACACGATGAACCTCATTCTCAGAATATATAGCGAGGTAATTGAGCGATGAATTACTTTTGCATCAGCACCACTCAATGACACTGATTCTGATGTAGTAATATATTATCTCCCCCTTTGTGGCAATTTATCCCCAAAATGACAACGAATGGAGAAAATAAATGAACCTCCTTTATTAGATCTGAAAAACAAGCTATCAAACTTCCCAAAAGTAACAAAACATTTTTTTCTGTCTCTCCAAACTGTGGGTCAGGCTTTAGAAAGTACACTGCATTATGCTTTTTCATTATGTTAAGTCACGTCTCTGGGCTTGACTTTTGAGCGCTGTCATTCCCTAAAGAGAAGAAATAAATGAGTTTCACATCAACTAATGCAATCAGACGCGGTTAAACCGGGATCTCCAAAAATTTGATTATATCTGCTATAATTGAGTAGAAACCTCTACCTAGGATTATATTGTCGGGGGGAAAAAAACACATTTATATGTGTGATAATTGGAGATAGATGGAGAAATAGACGTCTAAATGGAAGATAATTTAAAAGAGAATAGACAGCATATGTAGTGCGTGAGATTGAGAAAAAGATACCAGTCAACATGAAAAAAAAAAAAAGAGGACAGTCTTTATTTCAATCTTTCAAACCTGTAATAAAGTGTGACAATCTCAATTCAAACCCAAAGAGAATGGTAGGCAACTACAAAGACCAGAAGGCAAGGCGAGGGCATGGTTTCCTTTAGTGCAGTTTCACAGTAATAATACAGATAACCTCTGTAAAAAAAAAATTTAAACACAACAGGTGTGCTAAGTCCATCAAGGTTACAAGATTTACTGAGCTACAAAAGCACGATGAAATGAGTAATGATGAATAACCAAAACCGGACATTTTATTACTCGGCTACAATTTTTAAAAAGGGTTACTGAACGGGGGTAAAGATACACAATAATAGCATTAACAGCTCAAAACATTCATTACCATTTGGAAATATCTTAATTCAAGGCCTGCTCAGTATCTTAATAGTTTGCTCAGCTGTCACTGCGTCAGATGCCTTTAGAAACTCCAGAAACCTGGACCTAGAGCTAAGATTACTTTATCTACTGTTCCCAAGGTCAAGAATGAACTTAATTCTTATTCATTTCAGCGCCGTAGTCCCCTAAGAGAAAACCTGTTATAGAAGCATTCATTACTCATTTCCAACCTATAATTGCTTTGTAGCTCTGTGAGTTAAATACAATGCATGAATGTTCCAGCTGAATAATGTAAAACAAATGATTATCTTGTGTACCCCTCTGAAAGGAATAGCTTGATATATTGGGAAGTAGTCTTACGTTTTAGGTAGATGAGTAGATGTACCTTTTTTTATGGAACGTGCCAGCAGCTGCATTAGCTTGGGTTAACATGAAGACTGGAAGCAGGGGGAAACGACTAGCTTGGCTCTGTGCAAAAGGGGCCAAAAACTGCCTACCAGCACCTCTAACGCTCACTAACACGTTACGTCTTGTTTTTGTTTTTTTTAATCTGCACAAAAGGTGTAAAGACAACATTGTGTGGTTTTACAAGGGGCTTTGTGTGCAGACCTACATCCTGGTCAGGCCCAGTGACTTTCCTGGAGTCTCGTCATCACTGTGAGGTTTTCAGGCGACCAGTGAAGACTCCCAGGAAGTCCCTTAAGTGTTTGTGTGGTCTGTGATATAACGTTTTAATTAGTGAGCTTTAGAGGGGCTGGTAGGCAGACTTTATTTTATTTTTGACAGAACTAGGGATGGCTGTCTTTATGCCAAGCTAAGCTAACCAGCTGCTGGCAGTAGCTACATGGTTTCCCTTCAGACGAGGAGAGAGGTTTCTCATCCAACTCTTGGCAAGAAAGTGAATGAATGTACTTTCTAAAATGTCAGACTATTACTTTCAATCATCAGCTTCTTACTTGATGAGTGACGTGGTCCAACCTGATTATTTAAAATGAGGGATTTTCATACAGTATTTGTGTTTTATCTGTGCTCTTCTCACTAGTTTGAAGCGGGCAGGGATGCCTCGTAAGAAAGACGATGTCAGCGATTTCCATGCACCAATCAAATGGAAGAATCTTAATGACAGACACTGGGAATTTTGCTTCAGTTTCCATGGAAACACCACTTTAAATCCACTGTCAAAATTACACCCTGACTGTTAAATACATGTTTTTATTCATATTGCTTTTATTGTTTTTCTTTGTTAGTGATGTTTTCAGGTGCTTTGACATGCCCCCGCTGCCAGAGAGGCAACACTGGGCCCAAAATCCAACAGGGTGCACACTCTACTGCGTATTTTTCATGAAAATGGTATTACAGTGGGAGTAGCAGATTTTTTAGGGAACACTTTTCATGAAACAGGCTGGCCACTTGAGTCCACGAGGAAGCCGTAACCCCTACTTGATTTCAGCTATTATATACACTTTAGTCACAAGGGTTTGAAAATAGGATAGAGATGGATTTCTAGGCCTGGAGAAAACTTGCAATAGCGGGTTTTAACAAAAGGAAAAAAAAGGGGGAGGTAGGAAGACAGTCCTAATATTTTGTACGCTCAGTGTACTCCTCAGTGCATTGGGATGTAAACTTCAACCTGCCTACTGAATTCAATATAGCAACCAGTGATGGAGGACAGATTGAAATATGGAAACAGACAGAGCCCGTCTATCTGAGGAATATGAGTTGTTAAAAGCCGCGGGAACTACTGATGCATGTTATGGGTGTCTGCTGTACAGGTACAAGCCATATACACTGTGAATTTTTAGCTGGTTGGTCATGTTGGGCTGAAATTAGTTGCCATATTCCAGCATCAGACAGACTGATACCAATTACCATTCCAGCTTTTTTCATCAACTTTCCGCACAAATGGACACTAACAGGTGGCTGGCGTGAGAAATAAGTTGTAATGCTCGGCACTTTGCATCCCTAGAAGAAGAAGAGTAAAATGTTTTCAGGCAGTAACATACAATAGAAAAAGCACAATTCATTTATGGCAGATTTTCCTTCGTGGGCACTTCCTTTGCTTTCTACACTTGTCAATCATTATACATGATAAATCTACACCTTGGGTTGGGAGAAGAGGGGAACAAAATGTCTGTATTCAGTTTGAAGGCTGGATTTATCTCTTAACTATTGATTATAATCTACCATTTCTAGGATATCATAGCAAACTAGAAAAACAAAATAATCAGAAGTGGTTGGGAAATGACAAAAAAAAAAAAAAAGAAGAAGAAGAAACTATAGTAAGGGCATTTAAGATTTAAGTGGTTACAAAACAACAACCTAACAATGAGAAAATGTCACACATTACATGGAATAAACCACTGACTGGTCGAATCATAATAAATAAGTGGTATGTTTGGTTCACAGCCAAGCCTTCTCTTCTCTTGAACTTTATGTGTTTACACTCCATCATTAAAAGGCTGTTAGTTTTAAACATGATTCGATGGCTTCACAGCTGACGTTACAAAGTGACACACAGAACTCAAAGACGGGAGAACAGTCTGTGCTAGAGGGGCTTTGGGGGGATGGGGGGGGTGGAGTGATATGAAAAACAAAGAAGCAGAACAGTAATACATTTATATGTCTTTGAGTTTCATGTCACTGCATTTGACTAGGCCTATCATCCTCTATCCGACGGGAGCCCCTGTGTTAATCGGTTTTCTTCTCCTCGGGATCCTTCTCTCCAGCATCATCTTCCTCATTCTCGCCCTCTTCAGGGCCCTCCAGCTCAGCGGCGCATTGCCTGTCCTCCTCCTCTTCTTCCTCCTCGTCAGTCAGGCCCTCCCTCTTGAGCGCGTCGATGTCATCCGAACCGTCATCCGACTCAGCCGTGCAGATGCCATAGCACATCAGGCTAATTACACCCAGCGGTAGGCCGAACAGGAAGCAGCCCAGCAGCGGAGAGCTGCGAAACACTGACTGATGTAGGAAAGGAGACAACAAGAGATGAAAGGGAGACAGAAAAGAGGGAAGTGAGCGGGGAGGGAGGATATGGAGACAAAAGTAAAGTTTGAAAGAGATGCGGTGGGTTGAGAGAAATATAGAAATAATGGAATAAATGAAGACAGCAAGAGAGGACAGAAGAGAGAACAATATATGAACTTTTTGCACAATTAGAAGGCATTCAAGCATGTTTCCCCTAACAACTATAAGAATCTTCACTTTTCTGAAAGCCACTACACTGTAGATGTAATATATATATATATAAAAACATCTATGAACATTAGCATCATTGATGGCTTGGGAGAAAGCGCCACTAAAGTGTATACACACAACAACAATAATACTTAAAGAGTGACTTAACGTGGCTATAGTTGTGATCTGTTGCACCTATAACTACACCCAACAGTGATGTCACAGTGTACTGACAGACTCTAGGGTACGATTCGAAATCACTGCATCTTTCGGCAGGTCTTACAGAGCCTCCTTATGTCAGAATCTAGTGCTATGCTTTTAGTATTCATCATGCTTGGTATATGGTGGAATTTGTATTTATTTAAATTACCACGAGCCTAGTCTGGTTATAATCCTCTAAATCACAATCTATATCTTTTTCTTTTTGAGCAATTCAAATAAGTCTGGCGTGATGCTCACTGGCAGCTGTTTCACATGGTTCGAGAAACAATTGACCAATCAGTGCTTGGTAGGATTAAGACCACATCATCCTACATAGCCAACTAGCTTCTTAGCTACATCAATGAAAAATATCAGAGAAATTGCGACAAGCATGGAGGAGATATCCCTGTACAAGTTGTTGTCATTCCATTTTGAGCAGTACAGGTAACTCTTGAATCTGAATATTACTTTGATCATCCTGACAAACTGTTCATAATAAACGCTACCGGAGCTTGTGTCAACTGAAAATGACTCGGGCAGGACGAATACATCAAAACCGAACATGGGAATGATGACAACAAGTTGCAAATTCAGTCTGCGTAACGGCAGGAACAGCAGCACCGGTTAGTTTCCATGTGCAGTCTGCCATGTGCACAGTTCCTGATGTGGTACTAAAAAAAAAGGTAAAATGATAGATGTGTTACTGTGACAGTAGCGAGAACCAGGGTTCAAAAAAGGGGCGAGCAGCTCATTTCTGCCCTAGGCCCCCAAATGGATTAATCCAGCCCTGACCTTTTTTTCTCAGGTTCACACTCAAAACAACAAACACACTAACACTTATCTCTTTTTTCCATCTCTCTCAGTGCTTCTTCAATGTAGTACAGTACAGATGTGGAGTGAGTATCTGGCTGTTTAATAAAAGTGTTTCATCTCTTTCAACAGCCAGTGTTTACAATAGTAAAGAGCCCCCCAGCTATTAGGTAGAGGGAATTCAAAAAATCCTATTCAGAGGGCACATCCAGAATTATTTCTGAGAAAAATCGCAGACAGGCTTTTATGTTTTTAGCGACGATTCCACATTTTTATTCATTCATTTATTCATCGATTTGCATTACGCCATTAAGCTTTGCGAGCGTGTTTAGAAGGCAGGTCACAAATCATTTGCAGAAACTCGGGCAGGCTTTAATATTTTAGTGTTAATTAAATTTATGTCATGTAATTTTAAAGATGTCTCTATTATGTTATATTGTTTGTTTATTCTATCTTGTCTGAACTTGTTTTTGTTTTGTTTTACACTCATAACCATATTGGAGAGTTGTACCCTTTTATCTATAATCCTTTGGGTTTCTCATGCTTTTAAAATTGTACAGTTTGAACTGGAATAAATAAACCTCCAACTTCAAACACAAGCAAAAGGTCTTTCTGCACACTTTCTGTATTCCTCACTTATAATAGGCTCCCCCCCCATGATCACAAACTCAAACACACATCTGCATGTGTACAAAGGTTGCGTGCACACATACTGGGATGTTTCTTGACTGTGAATTATAACTAAACTTTTGCTCCAGTTCAATGATCTGTACAGTAAATGCACAGTGCATAATGCTATTTGTTTGGGAGTATCTGCTCCCTGGTCACATCCATGTTACTGAACTTGCATGTGAAATTAAGCATGTACTTCTCCACTCCTGCAAACCATGATCCCTCCTCTCCTGCAGGCACAACAATACCCAGGTCACTGAAGGACAACTTTGCAAGTCCTTCTTTAAATGATCTCGGTGATAAATGAGTCACTTGGCCTTAATATAGCAGGATACATCAGAGACAATGTACCTAGAAGGGAGTATTCGGTCACAACTTCTGTCAGCCACTGAGCTGAGAAGAAGAGAAATCTCCACATTCCCTCCAGTCATTGCCACTGCAAGAGGGATGGTAATTGCCGGCGCCGTGTGATGCTAGATGAGGTAGAGATGGGTATGCTATGCTAACACATCTGGCTATGAGTCATTGGGCCTAATGTGGCTGCTCCCTCATGCTCCTGTCAGACGTGCATTTAGATAGGCTCTCCGGGGGCAAGGTGATGGCTGCTGCCTATCTGCTTTGCATCATATCATGTCACTGTGAGCAAGACTAGCCGTGGTGACGCTTGGTCCTTGCTAAATTTAGGAAAGCAAGAGCAGAACAGAATTTCATTTCTCTTACAGGTGTAAGCCGAGCCCATCACACACGGATTACTTACTTCTGTGCCACCTGCTAGTATTTGCTAATGAGAAACAAATGCACACTATGCTCTATAATATTGTGTCTGTATTGAAAGCTTTACTTCTGTCTAAAAGGTCTTATTCTTACACTGATTCCATTTAAAAACCCAACTGTCAAACCTGGCCTGAAAGCTAAAAATATGTCTGCAAGGTTAGGTTACTATACCTTCTATTTCTTGAATGAAATTTTTAATTATTTTTCAGGAGTTCATCCCTTTAACAACATTGTTAGACTTAACAGTGGAAATGTACCGACTGAGTAGAATTACAAAACAGCTGCATTTACATTCCTATCACACCCTTGGTAAAAATAAATAAATAAATAAATAAATAAATAAATAAAACACCAGTTTTCCCAAAAGATCCAACTACTTAGAGTAGAAGTGGGAGGAGAAGCTCAGCCTCAGAAGTTCAGTCTCCTGACCTCCTCTCCTCCCTAATCACTCCACCTCCTCCTGCTCTGTTGCCTGTTTCTCTTTCCACATACTGTGTTTACAGCCTGCATTGCATATTCTCAGTTGTACTCCCTGTCTTGTCCTCTGAATGTTGTTTTCCTCCCAGAGGGAAAGAGCGGGGCACCCGGGCATTTGTTTTACAGTGCTGCTGAACTTGGCGCAGCTTGCATACATACAGTATTTACCCTAAATTGGTAAACACAGTCAAGGTGAGGCATGGTGTGAAGCATATCAATAAGTACAAGATGTTCAGCAGTATAATAATTAGTGGTTTAACTGTAGATGGTAAAGAAAGACCGAGGTACGTCAGTTGGGTAGCAGGTCACTATAGACAATCAAAATTAGGGCAAAATAATAGCTTGAAATGAATGTAAAATAGACCTTAAAGCTGCACTAATCAATATCTTTTTATATGAACAATGGGTCAGATGACTATGTGTAATGTTAAAGGGCGATAAAGAGATTTATCATGCAAGTTTGCAGTTCCCATTAGTTTTAGGGAGTGTTTTAGCATCTTTCAGCTCATTGTTTTGGTTTATGGGCTGCAATTATACTGTTTTTGCTTACTCTCACTCCACTCATCAACACTGTTTCCAAGCTAAACCCACTGTACGCAACCTTTCCAGCACCAAATGGCAGACAAAGTAAGCTGGTGAACATAGCAGAGCATTTAGTAGCTGAAAAGCCACATGACACAAAACTTTTTGAGCATCTTAAACTTCAAAAACATATATATTTTCAGATCGTCTACATGTAGCAGCCTAGAATAAAATCTCCCCAACTTACCATAATGGTGGATCTGGCATCAAAGGCCACGCGTTTGATCCTCTGAATGACGCCATCACCTCCATATGCCTGCAGGGAGACAGATCATTTAATGGGCACAGGGGAGCTACTGTGTCTACTCCATCCCAATTATTTCATAGTCACCAGCTTGGCATGTACAATTTGATGCAATTACTCAGGAATAATACCTAAATAACAAAACAATCATCAACATGTCAGTAAAAACTTCTAAACTACTCATGCAGTACGCACACAGAATTATCTTTTAAGTCTCAGGTACCCAGTCATATGGTCAGTACATCGCAGGCATTTAGAATATTGTTTAATTAACCGCTCCGCTGCACAAAATTATCTGATGTGTCCGACTCTCGTTTGTTCAGTGTCCAGCGGTTCGACTCTGCCTGAACTCATTTATTGGCAAAAGCACCCGGGCAGCCAATGAGTGATCTGTCCCGACGCTAATTCGTCAGGATGGCCAATTAGTGAGCACTGACTAAGCAGGCCTTCTGTGAATGAGCTGAAAGTGGGCATGAGATGATTTCTGTGGAAGGAGCTGTTGCACAGACTGCATAAGTAGTTTGAGAAGTTTTTACAAACATTTTTACAAACATTTTTACAGCACATCGTTGGGAGTTGTTCTTTCTTAATTGCAAAAGGAGCAAAGGACTTAAAAATTGAAGCCAGCCTATGTACCACAAGAGCAGTGAGTGAGGATTAAACTTTAAAAAAATGTATCTATTCGCTATAAACCTGCTAGAGAGATGCCACAGCCTGCCAACTGTCTCCTCCTCTGGTTGGTTTATGCTTCATGCAAGGATTAACACGCCGTCTGTGTACCTTAATGTTCATTCTTTTTATGCTTCTTATGGAAAACAATAAAAAAAAAATTAAACAATTTTTCCCTCAAGAAAAAGAAAATAAAAAAGAACACCCATGAAATCTAACAGTAACTATTGTTACTTTCTTGCACGGTACACATTATTTTTAACTCACATTATTCTGTGTTTTTACATGCAGCACAAATCAGCCTTGAGACACCTCACGGCAGGCATTACCAGCATGATGTAAAGAGGTTGAAACTGTCCAGGCCTTGGCAGAACTGGACAGCATTAACGTGGAGGTTTCTGTTGCTGTATTTTGGTGGGAGGTGGTTTGTTTTACCAAGCAAAAAATAGCACAGACCTTTCTTGGAAAAAAGGACAAGACCTCTGGCTGTTTGGCTTATGGTTTCATACATCTGGTGGCTTCAGTGTGGTACAGAGAAAGCGATGACATTTCTTTTCCAGATTAGTGTACACACTACAATACAGAGTCATGTAGTAATTTCCGTGTTTGACTTAGGAGACAGAATTATTGTAGATAATCTATTCAGAAAGGAAAGGAATATGAAATCTGAACATGCAAACCGAGATTGCAGAAATATCTCATCTGGTGAAAATATTTTCCAGGGACGACTTAAAATGCAATGCAACATGCTTGATTAATGAAGACTACTGGTGTGATTACAGTGGTACAACACAAGGGGAAAGGAGGGGGAGGGAGGGCTATACTGAGCTGAATGCATAAACAGAAAGCAGGAGGAGAGGGAGAGGAGAAGATTTGGACCTGTGCAGAGCCGTTCAAAACACCGTTGATGAATTGGACCAGCTGCTCCATGGTCTCAATCGGCTCACTGGGCAGGAAGTACTGCTCGTTGGATGTGTTGAGGATGATAACGGAGGGCACTGACACCTCGCTGAGAAAAACAAGAAACAGCTTTTAATCGTCTTAACCTCAGAACCTTGGACTGCCATTATCAAAGCGCATCATTAGATGGGAGCAAATTGTGGTTTTGTGAAGAACAAATTGTGAGAACAAATTGGGAGAATACAATAGCGAGATAAACAAACCCTTTGTACTCAGGGCAACCCAACTTTTCCCATGGGCAATCTTTCAAAGAGAGGGTTTTTCGTCTGAAACAGGCCAGACAGCATCGCCTTTTTCCTCAAAGTGGCATTTCTTCTATCTTTTATGCAAACAGTGTGCAACTCAGGGGCTTTATGGGTCTTTGGCGGTCACAGTAAAAGAGACCTTTACAAATTACAGCTGACAAGTGAATCGCAGGGAGTCCAAACGAAAGCAACTCTGCATCCATGCTGAGGCGTATAACATACAGTACACAGAAAAGCCCAGTAGTCGGGCCTCATTTCTGCAGGACACACAGACACACACACAGACACACACACAGACACACACACACACACACAGACAGACACAGACACAGAAACACAGAGACACAGACACAGAAACACAGAGACACAGACACACAGACACACAGAGACACAGACACACAGACACAGACACACACACACACACACACAGAGACAGACACAGACACAGAAACACAGAGACACAGACACAGAAACACAGAGACACAGACACACAGACACACAGACACAGACACAGACACACACAGACACAGACACAGACACAGACACAGACAGACACAGACACAGACACACACACACACACACACAGACACAGACACAGACACACACACACACACACACACACACACAGACACACACACACACACACACACACACACACACAGACACACAGACACACACACACACACACAGTACGCTCTGGAGCCCACTTATTTTCGACAAATCAGCAGAGGAATTACAAAGCCCAGTGAGATAACGAACAAGGTCATATAAACAAGCAATCCCTCTTTCACACGTCTCACACAACACCAAACCCTGGCTTAGATAAGGTATCCTAGCACTTAGATACACATACACACGAACAGGCACACGAACGGTCCATCACGCTGCTGCCACCTCACATCCCCGCGGTGTTACTCAACCCGGCAACAAATTTCACACACACGCACACGTATCCATCACTGTCCCAATCCACCACCCAGCTGAGATCAGGAGTGCAAACACACACGCCCGTGCAGTAGAGTCATCAACGCCTCACGACTCTGTCCAGCTGAGATCCGCAATCACATGTACGCACACACACACACACACACACACACACACACACATTACAAATGCTTATTCCATCTGACATCCTGCCGACTCCAACAGATGGCACCCATTTAAAATAAATATGGATTAGCCTATTCACCTCTGTGAGTGGAGACTACTGGGGGGGTTGCCACCCATAATGAAGGGTCATATACTGTACTCTATAGAATTAGAGCTGGCAGAAAGCACACACATTTAAAGTAATTTCCTTCCTGCTGCCAAAAACAGCTGCCATATAACTAGAGCTAATTTTTGTTTTCTATTTTTAAAAAACACACAGGAATTTTATCCGTGTTAGTCTGAAATGTTATTATCATATGGATTTATTTATTCATTTTGAAGGAATAGTTCAACATTTTAGGAACTATGCTTATTTGCCTCCTTGACAAGAGTTAGATGAGAAGGTTGATACCGCTCTCATGTCTGTGCGTTGACTATGGCAGTGGGGACAGGGGAAATACTTTGAGGGAAGATGAGGGTAAATGCAAAGAAATTATTATACTAATAATAAAATATAAATAAAATAGAGAAATTATTACTATGTGTATTCATATAAAATGTAATTTAGAATAATATATAACATACTGAAATCTTATTTGACATCCCCATATTTCTAATTGGTTAGCTAACTGCCTGGATTTACCTCCATACTTGATGAAAAGACAGAGTGGTATCGAACCTCTCATCTAACTCTCAGGCAAGAAAACAAAACTTTGAAACTATTCTTCAAAATAGAAATAATTAAGTGGGGAAAAAAACACCCAAAAATCCAGGTGAAAACTCGATTTGTTTTTGTCGTCATTTTTTTATTTTTATATATATATTTAATTAATAGGACTCTTGCTCATTATCAGAAGTTCATTAGAGCCTACCCCTCGCCCCCGCCAAGAGTTTTCTTTTCACTCTCTGTTACTAGAGGCATTTTTTGAGCTTTAATTATCGCAAGAGGACTTAATTAAAAAACTGTGATAATGATAATCACACTGTGTCCAGGAACCATACATCTTGGACATAAAACCTGGATATTCAAACCGATCTGCTCCCTTTAAAAAATAAAAACATGGTATTCGTCGGTAAGAAACACTAAAATCAATAGAATCATTGAAGTAAACATACACTTTATTCGTGTGTAAGTTGAGACTTGTCTTTGTAGATGGAAATAGTGTTCATGCTATTCTGAATACTATTTCTATAATACATTTGTCGGAGGTTCCACAAAAGTAATTTAGCCTACAAATCAAATGACCACTGGTTTGTGTGATCTGTGTTACACGTCTTCCCTTCACACAGACTTTTCAGTCACCTCACATCCCTTTTAAAGTTTTTCACAGCCCACGATGCATGCCGTATAAGGGGTTAGCGATAATCCAACGTTTAAACAGAGGCAGAGACAGCCTCGGGCTTAGAGTGGTGCTCATGTTGTATGTGTGTATTCATGAGTGTGTGCATGTGCCTCTGGTGAAAGCAGGGGCAGCCTTTACGCCAGACAGACCGCTGCCAGAACACAGTAATCGCTGTGATGACAGAAAGAAGGATAAAAAGCCATCAGATTTATTTCCATGGCTCTCCTAAGGGAGAGAATTAGTGGACATTGACAGGCCAGGATTTCATTCCTCAAAGGAGGGCAATTAATCCTGTGCTGCAGCGGCCAAATTCAGTCCTGTTAAACCCAGAGAAATACATATTGTATGTACTCATACAAAATTAGGAAGGCTAATCACCTCTTTTATCCTTAAATATAAACACCGCCTGTCTAATTTCATCCATGCACCGGGAGCCCGTTGGTTGAATGTAGTCATATTTCCGACTCACTGACACACTTTTAATTACACAGGACTTAGAAGGCGATGTCTGCTATAATCTCCTTCATACAAACAATGACATGCTCAAATTAAAGTAACATCCTGTTGCGGTCTATTGCACTCGGAGATTCTCATAGAAACACACACGGCAGTATACAAAGACGCATAATTAGATACTGTACGTTAGTAGACACAAAACAGACTTGCCGACTGCTACAGCCCTGCTGGCCTGTAACACTAGTGGGGTCATGTCTAATTAAAAGTGTGGGATGTCAGTTGCAGGGCCTCTCAGATGCAAGACACACCAACAGTCGGCCTCAGCCTGGGCGCAAAAGCTACTGCAGCAGGGCTCTCTGCATCATTAGCGCTGCTCTTTGACAAGCTATTACAACACATGACCGCAATAGATATAATCCATGCATAGCCTTATCCGTAAATTCCTCATATGCTCCTCTTACTATCCTGTACTTGCAGAAGCAGATTTGCAGGAGCATGTGTGAAAGTAGGGGGGTTAAAATTGCCCAGAGCATTAAAAAAAAAAAAAAAAAAAAAAAAGAGAGAGAGAGAGAGAGAGAGAGAGAGAGGAAGAAATGACAGTCTGTCTGTATAATTGACTTCTCCACAAGAGAGCATCTTTAATGGCAGAGGCTGGCATTACAAGTCAGTCCAAACCTGCTTAAGTAGCTGACGGGAGGTAATATGAGGTAGAGAAAGAAGAGGATGACATGGGAAGAAAGAGGTAAGGTGGGTGTGAGACACTCACCCCATAATGAGGCTGTTAATGTAGTCGTTCCCATCCATGTGGCCAAACTGGAAGTCCCTGGGGATGAAAGACAGATCAGTGGCATGAGAAAGTGAAACAGTGCATCAAAAACAACATACAATAAGGTAAAATGAGCCCTTTTTCTTGTCTCAGTGGACTACAGCAAACTGGGACGCCAACTTTCCTGCACGACGACACACAAATATGAAACCACTTTGAATGGAATGGCATGTTCTCACTATGGAAAACTGGCATCATTTTTGTCACTGCAGGAAAATAACATATCCCCAAAGCTCCTCTCAGGTTTCTCCTCGTCTTTCCCACCACAAGAAAGATTCAGGTGATTTCTCTAAACGATAAGGCGGGAGGAGGAATTCAATTTGTATCTCATTGTGCTGCACTATGTCTGAGCAAGAGTGTATTGTGGGTAGACTAGGGGAGGGGTGTTGCACGTGTCCAGGGAAACCAGTGACTTCCACTGAATGACTGATTACGGGGGCCTCTACATATATATTATATTCATACTGAATCATAGCTACATCTAGCACGTTCGTCCCCTGGGTGCTACACACAATACTGCCTGCGCTTATATCAGCGACATGATAATGAAGAGACTGAACCATATAATAAATCCAGAGGATGCAATATAAAATCAGTCTGTGTTAGTGATAATCTTGCTGACAATAGTGAGCCAGACTGGGAATAAAGCTCATCAAAAAGTCAGTTAGTAACTTCTGCTGTGAAAGCTGCAGCCCTGTGAGTTATGGATCAGACATAGCATGTGTGCGTGTGTACGTGTGCATGTTTGATGGGGAAACAAAATGTGAAATTAAATTCCTTCCTTTTTTGTTAAACCTTATTGTTAATCTTTTGTCTACTCAATAACCTTAATATTTACAGGTCTGTTTCCCATGTGCGCGCATCTTCCCACTCCTACTGACACTTCTTGGCCAGACCACCGCGCAGAGCGGCCAAGAGCGCCGAGTAACTAACTGAGAAACTTACATGTGTGAGAGGAGGCATGGAGTGAACCGAAGGCAAGACTGCGCAACACATTTTTTCTGGTAAATACTTTCAGATTTTCCATGAGAGTTGGGGATTTTGGCTGTTTACTTAAACATTCCCTCTGGTGTATGTGTAGTTATTCGTTTAACTCCCTTAAATTTTTAGAACTGAAAGTAGATATTTGTTGATGTTGGTCCCGTCATGTGGTTCCCATGAAGAGAGGAGTGTGTTCTGAAGCCAGATTTCAACAGAATTTATATTCCAGGGAAAGTCAGTGTGGGGGTGAATGGCATTATAGCCACTGCCAAATTATAGAAGGTTTTCTACAATATGTCACCATCAGGCTTTAAGCTCTCAGAGATACGCTTTTATTATACAAGGTGTCTTTGCAGAAAGGAATAAATTATTGAACAACCATTGATGTTGTTGTGTTGTGTTTTTTTAAGTATGATAAATACAAGGGCTTGGGGAGAAAAATCACCCACACATGCACTCTGGACAGGATTTAAATCACAGATTAGCATATGCAATATTGAAGTATTCAAACATAAAGCAGGCCTCAGTAATATTTCTCAGTAAATAAAGCTTCTTATTCAGATGGCATACATTTTTGTAAAAAAAAAAAAATCCTGGAACAAAGTATTGGCTTGCATTGCTTTGTGTCTTTTTTTTCTTCCTTTTTTGAAATGGTACCACTGTGGGTGCCAATGTTTGCCATTTTCAATAATTTTCAAATTCATAGTGGCATCAAGACATTTTTACATCTGTATTCAGCGATTTATTTAGGCCACATTGTGCAGCACAACAAGCGATAAAGGTGACATGGAAAACATGGTAGGAAACATGTTCATCAGCTAGTTGCTACCTATGTTTGCTGTTTGGTGTTGGGGAGGAAGCATACAGTAGTGCTGCTAAAGAACATAATGTCAGTTTATAGTGTTTATATAAATATTTCAAAAGATATTTTGTTTTGAAAAGGAAGCAATGTTAAAGTTGCTGGCATATGTTATTTCTTTTTAAGTTGTATTTCCTAAACTTCAAATCTTTAAGTATATACACACACACGATGATTTTTTTAAATATTCCATGTACTCCTGACAACAGAATAATCCACTATTTACCTATATAAAGGGCCCAGTAACTGCAGAATCAATTGATAATTTATTTGTGGGATCAAATTACATATTTAATCCACTGTAACCATAACATGACTCATTAGTGCAGCTTTAAGATGTTCTGAAAGTGTTAAATGTTAAAAGTATTGCCTTTCAACAAGTAAATACCATCTTTCAGTCTGTGAATTTGTGACTTGACGTGAAGGCTTCTTGTCTAGTCTTGTTGCACCAACCTTCTGTGCTGCAGCTGGCACATAAAAGCCAAGACAATAATGACTAGTGCAGAATTTCAACCGAATACACACACCCACTAACTGACAAAATCAGACTTTCCCACAAGTGCAATTTGCGTGCATGTAGGCATGTGCCTTTTTTTCCCCAGCAGACTAGCTCCCCCTCAGATTTGAGATTTGCATTCATTGTTCTGTCAAAATGCTACAAACGGTGGGTGAATACCACGACATTTATTACTGCATCGAACGGAGTCGGCTCATTCACATGTCAGTCATCACCTATGATCCCTTTGAGTCTGTGCGCTGCCTCCGCCCACCATCGGGGGCGTCACTCAAGCCCTGCGACTTGTAATTACAAGTACCCGTTTAGGTGTGTCAGAAAACTGCAGGCAGCTCTGATCTCAGTGGGAATCTCAAACTCAAAAGTCTTCAAAAAAAGCAGCGCTGGGTAGTGTAGCGGATAGCAGTCTAATTGATGATAGGGATCTGTGTAATTCAATCAGTCCTAATGGGAATGCCTGGTGAGGGAGAAACACTTTGATCAGGGCGGTTTGAGATACACCTCTTCATTCAAAAGCAGGTATCTATGTGATGAGGCAACATGGTCAATGATGGAGCACAGTAAAGAACTTAAGCATGACATAATGATGACATTTAGATTTTAGATTTTTTTCTTTTTATATTAATCCTTTTGAGGAAATCCTCTTGTTGCCAGCCACCCTACTGGGTGTGATCAGAGATAAGGGTCAGCTACAAAGCACCTTGATGAATTGAATTCGAGCCACTTCAGCAGAGCACTTGTTTGTTTTAACCTGGGTACTCCAGCTGAAGAGCGACCTACCTACTGTAGTCACTAAATCATCCTGTCACACACATACGTGTGTTTCGCACGTGTGTGTTAAACATTTGGGTAGCTGTGCTCTTGCATCATCTCCGTTTTCCACAGTCAACCTTTGCTATGCAACAACAACAAAAATAGCAAGTATACAGTTGCTTTTCCCCTTTTTTGGATTCAGTCCCTTGTTTTAATTGGGTCCTCTCCAGTCGAAGTACAGGTCGAACAAGGTAGTGCGTAACATAAACATCCCATCTCCAGTTGTTATTGCACAATTGGAGCTGGAGAAAACAGAACATTAACCATTAATACAATACCGAGCTGAGTTTTTGACTGACAGCTGAAAAGAACACCTATATTTGGAAGCTGACATTTTGCATAATTACCTTTCTACTGAACCTCAACCAAAACAGACGTGCCCTGACAAAGGCATAAACTTGCTTGTGAATAGACAGGCGGTGTTCCCCAGTGAGTGCACCTTCCTAGAATAAATGTATAAATTGGATGTTCATCTTTCACCTCATCGTGTAGCCGTGCCTTACCTGTTAAAATGTTCTCTGTATTCCTTCGCCACCCTCTGAATCAAGGTCTTTAATCTAAAAGCAAATGAGAAGAGAGTGAAATACCACATAAGTCGGAGTCTAACCTTTTTTTAGCCGATGCCTGCAATTTGTGGGAAGATCCAAACAATAACAGCGACTCTTATCTCTATTTGAAAACTGTGCACTTAGAAACAACTATTGTGGTAATCGTGGTAGCGTATGGGAGTCATTTATATAGAGCCCTGCTTTTTAATTTCAGTGTTCTTTGTACCTGCCACTCTCCTCTGTGGGGTCCTTCTCATCGATGACTGCAATCGCCACCAATTTGCCTGAGGTGGCAGACAGGGATTACAAATCACAATCACACACACAAAAAAAGAGGGTGGGAAGACAATGGCAGGGCTGATAAGAGGCTCTGGAGGAGACGAATCACCTCTCAACAGGGGAAAAGAAAGAGAGAGGCACCGAGAGCGTTTTATTCATTCATCACTCAAACATTGAGCTAGTTTAGGCTTTCTACTTGGTTTAACAGGAAACAAGTGGTCACTTTCTGGTAGAGGAGCTATTTTGGTGCCATTCAAAACCCAAACCCACTACATGACAAATAGGTCTACTTAAAAAAAACTGTTACACAACTTAAAAGGCCTGTTATTCAGACTTGTATGGTTTGAGGCTAGAAACCCCTTGTTGCTTGGATGAGAGTACCAGCCTGCCCCCTGGTGGTCACTGATGGCGGTTATGTGTCAAAGGTGAGGTTATGTAAAGACAATGGACAGTTGGGGATCATGAAAAGGAAAAAGCTGCACTTTTCACTTGTTTTTGATCTGATTGTGAGTTTTTACACAAAACTTTGGTTTAAGATGTTAAAAGTATGCAGTATAGTCTCTCCTTTATGTGGGTTGTTTGTGTTGTGGTTATCAGACATACTATTCACCCTCTTCCCTTGAAGAACAGCCTTTCAATGTTCCCGTTCACAGCAAAAAAAACAAATCTAGTGTACTGTTAATCCATCAAATAACGGATTTTGGTTAAACCTGTATTTAGACAAGGGTACCAGGTTTTGTGTAAGCGTGACTTATGATGTGTGTGATGGGGCTTTTAGAGCATTAAAATGTCACTCAACCACCTCATAATGAGCCCAAGTGCATGAAAGAGAGACTTTTGAGACAAGGCTGTTTATACCGTTTCCTCAAATAAACTTCAAGCTAAACTCTTCGATCTAAGTTACTGTAACAGTCTGAAGCCACAGAACATGCCGTCTTTAATCAGTCACACAGGGTTTATCCAATTAAGATGCTTTACAGATCCCTTTGTGTTCAGGACTACCAACACTAAACAGCAAATGTGGTATGGATGGGTTAAAGACTGACTGCACGCAGCAACAAATGTAAGCAAAATCCAACCGTTGAGCATCACTGATCTCAGTAAACTGCACATAAAGAGGTAAACTACTGTGTCTAATATTAAAAAGCAAGGCTTTCTCTGCACAGAGCATCAGTTTATTGTCTTTAAGAGACAGTTTGGGTTTCATTCTTGAGCTTAAATTCCCTGTTGTGTGTGTACATTGGAGCAAGTAGAGTAGCACGGTCTAAATCAGTCATAGCCCCAATATACAATTAACACTGATATTTCTACAAGGAGCTTTTGGGAGGAGCAGCTCTAAAATTGTGTGTGAAATAGAATTTGTGCATATTGTGCTCATGCATTTCAAATTATATATGCTGGTACGCATTCTGTAATTAGAAATGTTTACTTTGGTTCCATAATTTGGTTAAATCATTAAGAAAAAAATGACACACAAGATAAAAATATTATACAAATAAACACTTGTGCTCACAATCAACAAAACATTTAAAATATTTGGAAAATAAAATGGAGCCGAACCAATTATGTCTATTAGTCAAACAGCTAACAGTAAATTAATTGCAACCATTTTGATAATTGTTTCCTAGTTCATGATTCTCAAATGTGAGAATGAACATTTTGAAGAGCCGTACACATAAAAATGCTGTAAAACATATGAAAATGAAATATTATGGATGACAAATTGTATGTACACGCCACCTGTTTCTCCAAGCTCATATAGTGTGAAGCCATCAATCTGGAGGTATCCTTGGAAGCGCTCCTTGTTCACCCATGATGATAAACTAGAATCTTCGTACTCTGCAACACAGGGAAACAGAATCTTTCAGAGGCAGAAGCACAAAAAAGCCTATTGACATTCAGGACACAACCTGTCTATATTAAAAGCAAAGCAGAGCAGCGTATTGATGCCTGGATTGTAAGAAGATCACAGTGTTTACCACCTGTACGCTCTCTGGGGAATAGAGAGAGGCACACAAGCTGAGCATTCATAGACAGAGGTCAGTTAAACAATGATCAGAAATTGTTTTGACAGAGGGTTGCCTCTGGGCAGTCAGAGAGGCTATTTTGGGCCTGAAACTGAAAAAATGGATTGTGACTCAGTGAGCAGATTGGGAATCAATCGAGAGGTAAACAATCAAAAAGGTATAAGGTTGATTGTCAAGAAAGAAAACATTTTGTTCAGCCTGGATTGTTACCAATACAGATGTTGTAAAAGATTAATTTGCTATTCATTAAAAAGCCGACTGTCAAGAATATAAAAAAAAACTGTAATTTTCATTCACAATGGATTCCGTTTTTTTGTGAGATGCTGTCTCACCTGACCTCATTTTTCACAACTATTACACTTTTCTGTCTTCCAAAAAGCACATTTGGTTTGTTAATGATTCTCCACACATTCGTACATTCATTTTCAGGACACAGTTTGGGGAGATTTTTTACACATTTGGAGTGAATGCATAATTTAACAGATGCATTAAGGCAAAAAAAAAAAAAAAAAAAGATTAAGTGCAAAAAATAAATGAAAAAACAAACTGAAGTAAAATAAAGGATTGCTTCCTGAATGTGAACCACATGTTGTTGCTACCCTAACATCTGGAGGCAACATGCAAACTGGCACCAGAGTCTGTTCCTCCAGGGTATAAATAGGGTGTAGCGAGGCTGCTTGAACAACACTGTTTTTCTCCGGCTGAGAGAGGCTACAGGATGCACATAATTGATGTCAAATGTAGCAGGGACCTCATTATGACATGTTAATAAGTTATCATGACCTTTCTGCTACCATTACAATAATTACAAGACACTGATGACTTTTACATGGTTCTTAAGCTGCAGGCCCCCAAAGGAGCTGGGAGCAGAATACCGAACATGACAACCTAAAACCTGAACACGCTTTTAAGACCCCAAGGTCGTAGCTTATACTAGTATTAGAATCAAATTGACCTTAATGCAACGCACTCCATTTGTCAGGGCTGCTGCTGTGCAAAGGCAGAGCAGCAGCGTCGCTGTTCCGGCTGCTGAGTCAGTCAATCTGGTAGACATTCCAGAGAGTTCTTTCCACAGATGTTTTGGCTTTATAGACAGCATGCAGCTGCCCGACTCGCTTCTCCCAGAAGTGAGAGAGAACTGAAGGCCCCATACTGGGATCGTACAGCCTTATGAACCTCTACAACGACTGAACCCGCTTCACCTTGAAACAAATTAGAGCTGCTCTCTTCCTGGGCGCCAACCTCGCAATCTCCATACCACCCTACAGGAGCCTGTCAGCCCAGAGTTCACACAGCGGGAGACAAGAGAGAAAGATGAGGGGCAGGAGGGGGAATAGAAACAGACAGTGGGTGGAGTGAGGATGATCTAGTGTCAGAGTCTTGAGCGGAGGGAGGAGGCAGCTCTGACACATCTCAAGGATGAAGGTTAATGGCACAGAAGACCTCCAAGACAATGCAAATGGTGTAGAAACACAAGCAGAGGGGGAAACACAGGGAGAGAGAGAGAGAGGGTGAGGAGCTGGGTAACATCAAAGACAATTCAAACAGGGTGAGACACAGACGGTGGCAGAGGATGAAAAGACTGATTTAACAATGAAAGAGAGCTCAGTGAAATGAAAGACCAACATGTCTCGCTTTCTTACTATACTGAATAAAGAAAACCTTAAAATATTAACAATGGAAATGCTTTGGCTAGTTGCCAAAAAGCCCCCCAAAAAAAAAAAAATCTACAGTGAGGGATGGGAACCTTATGAAAATGTGTGTCGCCAAGTTATGGAATCAGCTACTTGATACAGAAGAAAACCGGTGACAAGAAAGATATTTTTTGGAATGAACTAATTATTGGATCTTGGTCAAGCGACCTGTGCACTTTGTTTCACAACTGTGGGTTGTGTGGGGCATTGTCGGCCGTTCCCGTTGGCCCCGGCCTGTCCGCCACTTTGGTCCAGACTGAAATATAACTATTGGATGGATTGCCATGAAATTGGGTACACACGTTCATGTTCCTCTCAGGATCAATTGTAATAACTCTGTTGATCTCCTGACTTTTCCTCTAGTACCATCATCAGGTCAACATTTCAATTTGTCAAATACTTTGGTTTATGGCATGCTAGCGGCTCTGCGAGGCTGTACCTGGACGCAGCAGTGCTTTGAGCTATATGCTCACATCATGTATTACGGTATAATGGTCATCATGTTTGCCACCTTAGCTTAGCACGTTGGCATTCCAACATTTACTAATTGGCAATTAACACAACTGTAGCTGAGACTGATGAGAATGTCGTGAGTTTTGCAGGAATTTAGACAAATTCAAAAGTTTGACCTGATGATGCCGCAATTTGAAAAGCCAGGGGATCTTTAAAGTTACAGTAGTTCATCCTCTGGAAACCACGGATGTCTGTACCAAATTTCATGGCGATCCAATAGCTGCTGAGATATTTTCATCTAGACCAAAGTTGGTAGACCGACCAAGTTATTCCAACCAAATGTTTGGCATAACTCGGAAATGAAAACTAAGTGAATTATGACAGTGGGGATAGCACGTGTGGAGAAACTCTAACTTCTGACTAGTTATTGCACTTTTCATCAGCATGTGATCCACACTGACCTTGTTGTCTTTGCCAGTTCAAATAAGCAATGAAGTGAATACTGTCCATGTGTGCCGTCGCAAAATGTCATCAGTGTGTTATCGCATTTTGAAGTGTGATCTCATCCTGTCATGATATTCATGGACGGTTAATCAGCCTGTCATTCAAGCACTCCCAATAAGCATATGCAAAATAGTGCTGCCTCACAGCTGGCTGCGTTGGAAAACCACAAACCCCTCACTGACCACTAGCTAATGTGTATTAACACTGAAAAAAAAGGTTTCAAAGCACGTGTAGACTAACAAACACGCTAATAACATTTTTCTGTCTTCATACAGCACTAACATTTAGCCCAGTAGATTTCACTGCACAAACACAATGATCAAAACCATTTAGCTCCTGAAGCACAATAACAGTGCAGACCTTCACAGCAGTATGAAACAGAGGATTTGAGTTATTAAATATGTATGAGCCTCTGTGCTGTACTATACTTTAACAGCGCTCTTCAAAGGGGATGCTGCTGTTTGTGATGTACACTAAACCAATCAAAGCTCAACAACAATACGTCAAATATCATTTTACACAAAGCGAAAAGGCCGATCTGGGACAGTGTGGCTTTGCTCAGTAGCATCTATTCTTTAAAAAGTCGGCCTGCATGTACACGGAATTTCTAATAAGAATTTTCTGAATCTGCATCCACACAAAATACACACAAAAACCAATACCAGAAGGGAGATGATAAAAGTTGCTTGTATATTCTGGGAACTGCCGGCCTCTGTAGCGGGTAGATAAAAACAATGCAGCTAATAAAAAAATAGAATATGTGCGTTATATATCCACACACTTGAATAAACGTCATATTCTGCCATAAAACAGTGTCACTGGGTGCTGATGCAAATGTGTCTCAGTCAAATAACATTTGATAAAAAGTTTCTGACAGAGCATCATGCAAAGTGAGTGCCACAGCCTTATTTATCCAATAACCATTAACTCAACATGCAGACAGTGGATTTTCAGTGAGACCAGTCCTCTGAGAAACACAGCACGGCACAGCTAGAGGCAAACCAGATGCTGAAGACCACAGGTGGTAAACAAAGGCAAAAGGGGAGGAAATGCACTGTTGTTGGTAGGTAGGTCATTGTAGAGGAGTGCTTAATGAGCTAAACTCTGGCTCTTTTTAATCAATTTTTTCACTAACAATACCTGATAAGAGAGTTTTTCTTTTATGCTACAATTTCTAGAGGCTTGAAAGGGAAAAGGAGAAATCCGCCATGTGAGGAAGGACACAACCATGTCATTTTGCCATGCTGCTCACCTTCTCAGTCCTTGACAAGCTTAATACGCCGTCACCATGGCAATGCAAGACATTCACCACATCCTCAGTATCAAGGTCCTGGAGGACTCTGCAGAGTGTGGAGTTTTTGTCATCAACATCTACTGTGGTGAGCCTCTCCTGCTCAGATTCTGGTGCAGGAAGCCTCCCTTCCGCAATGGTCAGGTGGAGCAGACGGACGTCTACTTGCAGGCTGCGGCGGAGATGGATTTTGTTCTCCGGGCGCTACACCGTGCACCAAACCTGCCGAACAGCCACTACTGGGGCCCGTTTGTGTTGGCATTGTGTCTCGACGCTCTTCCCTTCCGCTTCCACCTCCCGGCTGAGGCCCACAGCAGCAGCAAAATACAAGACATCATGGAGGAATGCGGTGAGCTCATGCTGTTGCGGTGAGAAGCTTCAAATTGCACAACAGAAAGAAGAAAAAAAAAAAAAGCAGCGCCTCTAAACCTCTTCTGTCAAATATGATCTTTTTTGCAGAGACTTGACGGCTGCTTCAGTGATTCAATTCTTGGCTTTAAATTACTGTATGTACACTACCGGCTCTGCAATGGTTTCCTTGGCCTAAACTGTGGTCTCTCACACCCATCCACCCTGGCCTGCTAAACATGTCCGCCCAAAGACAAACCGCCACAACATCACTGGCCGCACCACACACACACAATAGTGGGCAGAGCCCGGGGTGCTTTATGATGGGCCTGGCACACCATAACTCAGTGTGGTGAGGAAGATGAAAGAACAGCAGCAGGGACAGGAAAACTAGAGAAACACAGCAAGAGAAAACAAGGATCACAGGAAAGGAAAGACGAAAAAGATCAGGAGCACCCTATTGGCCCCTTTTACAATTTCTTATGCTGTTTTAGGAGTAAATGAAGAGACCAGTTACAAAAAAAAAAAAAAAAAAAAAAAAAAAAACATTGGATGAAGACATGGCAACACAACACTCACCATCATAGGTAAAGTAGCCTCCATCCTTAAAGACTACAACCGCAGGAAGCTCTGGCAAAGTTACTGACTGTTAAAAACACAAGAGATAGTCAATTTAAAACCAAGGTCCATTAATCATTTACTCTATGAATGTATGTGCACCTGCAAAAATGTGGGACAAAACTGTTGGCAGCGGGGCTTTGCAACAAACTTATACTTTTTTGCACACTGCAAAAACAGCATGTAAGCCTGGTATCTGTATATGCAGTTATGGGAGGATTATGCTTATGAAAGGATGTAATTGTTAACTTCAATCTAGAAAACTCGCAACAATGGAAACATCAACTGGGTACAAAATACCTCAAGAGTATCAATAACTATACATTACTAACAATAAAAAATATAAAACTCTCCCTGAGTGATTTAAGTGATTTTTTCTGAAATTCAAAAGGACGCATATTCAAAGAGTTACCTCTGGAAAAACTTCCTCCGACGCTGAGAAGAAGTAAGTGTAGACAATGAGCTCAGAGGCTACGTCGTTGTACTTCTCCTGCAACGACACACAGGTCTTTCAGCATTTATACAAAAGCTTTCGATAAACCAGTGTTAAACAGTTGTAAAAGGCATTAGAAGGGAATTATACACAACCTACTCTTTGTTAAAATATGTTATAACTGCAGCAGAGCAGTGCTTCTATCATTCAGTAAAGACACAGATTTAACTTTGTGGTAGAAGCTGGGTGCTTAGAAAAGAAAAAAAGAAAAACAAGCAATGTCTGGGTGACATACAGTAAACGGTGCTTACTTTGAGGGGAGACTCCCCACCGACGTACACAAAGAGCACGTCATGCCGTTTCATCATGTGCTCAAACATCTGCTTGCTGGGAAGTGCCCGGACGGCCGGTCTGGAGAGAAATACACCCACAGAGATTAATTCATTATGATGAGTAAAATCCTATTCAGCAGCACAAAAATGGCACACTAATGTAATAAGCTGATGTTAGAAGCTCCCAACATTTCTTGCTCTTCATTTCTGTGCCTGTGCCACCACCTAGTGGAGATTCAACAACTTGCAGCAGTGGATTCTAGTCAGAGCCAAGCTTTTGATCAACCCCTCTGTCACGGATCTAGCTTGATTTCCCTCAAGGAGGAGAAATCTGCCAGGCTCAGTTGATACAGTGGCTTAAACTGGAGCATCAGAGGAGAAAATCCATTGAGCTATTAAACAAATATGGCCTGCATTGATAAGCTTGCTTGCTTGGACAGTTCTTATTAACACAGCATGTGTTCCTGTGAAATTTATCAGTTTCATGTCATTTCTTTTTGGTGTGATTGAAGGCTGTGACTTACCCTGCCACCCTGTTGGCAAACTCTACGATATCATCTTTTGTCCTTGGCCCCTTGTAATTATAGGCAAGATCACCCTTCAACCTGAGAAGGAGAGACGGAAACAAACCAAGAGTCAAATGCGGATATTTTAATTGGAAGACCTTTTCACCACCATTCATTGATTTGTGCAGCGCAGACACTGATTGAAACATTCATGTGAAAATAAAATGAAATGGAAATCAACTGCATGACATTGAACTTTGCATTCAGGATATTGGTTTGTCTGAAAATCCTCATTCAGTGAACAAAAGGGGAAAAAATATTACAGCAGAGGCATAGCTCAGCAAAACTGTTTGATTAGTCATTCAACAGAAAATGAATCAGCAACTATTTTGACAACTGATTAATTGTTTTAGTTGTTTAATCAAGCAAAAATGGAAATGGGAACATTTACTGCTTTTCTCTGTTTAGATACACTGATTGGCCACTTTCTGAGGAACACATACTGCATATTAGGGATGCAACTAATGATTATTTGCTATATTATTTGATTAATTGTTTGATAAACTGTCAGAAAAAATATGTGTAAAATGTGGATCACTGTTTCTCCCAAGCCCAAGGTCCTCAAATGTCTTGTTTAGCCCACAACTGAAAGATATTCACTGTCATAGACTAAAAAAAGTGAAAATGTCTCAAAACAGTTAAAAGCTGACGTCTAATCAATTAATCGACTAATTGTCCCAGCTCTACAGAGTAGGTACAACCAGAACAGCCATAATTCTTTGTGGCATGGATTCAACAAGGTGCTGGAAACAATCTTTAAATGATCCATGTTGACATAAGAGCATCATGCAGTTGCTGCACATTCATGCTGCTAATCACCTCTTCCACCACATCCCAAAAATGCTCCACTGAGATTGAGATCTCATGACTGTGGACGCCACTGTCATATTGGTAAAAAACGGCGTGTGCTTTCTGAAATGGAGTGTAGAAGACGGGTAGACAGTGGCCATAAAGGGGTGCATGTTGTCAGCAATAGCACTCTGTGTGTCATTTAAACAATGCCTGACTGGTACAAAGGCCTAATGTGTGCCAGGAAAATACTCATATACCATTACACCACCACTACCACAAGCTTAAACTGTTGCACAAGCCAGGATGATACCAAGGATTCATCTCGTTTAATCCAAGTTCTGACTCTACTATCTGCATGTAACAGCAGAAGTCAAGATTTGTCAGAGCAGGCATTTTTCCTATCTTGAGCTGTCCAGTTTTGGTGAGCCTGTCCCCACTGTGGCCGCAGCATCCTGTTCTTAGCTGACAGGAGTGGAACCCAGTGTGGTTGCTGTAGCCTGTCCACTTCAAGGTTCGTTGTGTGTTCAGAGATGCTTTTTCTTCACTGTATTGTTGTAACATGTGGTTATTTGAGTTACTGTCGCCTTCCCGTCAGCTTGAACCAATTCTCCCCTCATAAACAAGGCATTTTCGCCCACAAAACTGCCACTGTCTGGATGTTTTTCAAACATTTCTCTGTAAACTCTAGAGACTGCTATGCATGAAAATCCCAGGAGTTTTTCTGAGATACTCAAACTACCCTGTCTGGTACCAACTATCACTCGACAGTCAAAGTCACTTAGATCACATTTCTTCCCTATTCTGATGTTTGGTCTGAACAACAACTGAACCTCTTGACCAAGGTTTTGGGTATTTGCAGATGTCAACTGGGGATTTCATAGAATTAACAAATAATAAACAGTCAAAAACGAATTAATCGATAATGAAAATAATCATTAGCTGTAGCCCGACTTTAATTGTGGAAAAAGAAAACTGCTGTTTTAAGGGGCTAAAGTCTGTCCCTGACATCTGAGCATGGAAACCACAACCTGTCTCTTACAAGATGTTCCAATGAAACAGAAAATCCACTAAGAAAAGCTTCTTCACCACAAAAGGTCAACATAATCTAAATCATCCCACCTCCAATAAAAAAACAAAAAACAAATTACTATCTCTAACGGAGTTCCAGCCAAGGAAACGGCTGGAGTCGAGTTCCTACAACAAGCAGAATGCATTAAGGATTACCAAGGTTGCGTCAGCCCACAGGGCTTAATGAACTCAGGGGGAAACAGAACGCTAAATCAAGGCTTCTTTTGTCTCGGGGGAAGGTATCTCGTGTTCTTCGATGGATATTTCATCACTTTCTTAGTTTAATGTTATGAACCCTGCCGTGCTCCTGTGGCAGTTTCCCAAATGAGCTTGATGAAACTAAATGGGGAGCCCATTATGGCAGCATGCAGATAAATTATTCTGTTTCAAATATATGGAGGAAGCTCTGCTATGTAAGATGATCATTTCTCTAAAGTCAACATGAGCTCTGTCGTTGAGCAGCTGGCGTCTACCTAAATTCATTAATTTCGTATAAAAAATGTCACTGGGAAAAAAATGTAATGAGTTAAATGAGGGGGAGAAAAAAAAAAAATCAGTGGAAATAGTTCACAAGTGGAAATCGTATCAAACTTATTTAGTTAATCAGTAGATCACAGGATAAATGATTTAGGACATACCTGAGAAAGGTAAAATTTTTAAAAAAAAGTTTAAATTGAAATTGCTGAAGCTGATTTTAAAAACACACTTCATCACCCAAGCAATGTATAATTAACAGCATTCAGGAGTGCCAAACCTAATAAAATTTAAGCTCAAAAGGTGTGAACAGAGTTTGTCACTTAGTTATGCCTTAAGGAAGCAGCAACAACACCTTGTTCCCTCCTGAATAAGTCATCTAAGGGCATCTCAACAGGCCAAACCTCAAGGGAAAGAACACAACAGTGGGGTAAAAATATCCTGATAATAACACAATACAAACGTAAGTAAAGACATTCGGGATGGAGGGTGAAGGGAGCAGGGGCAAAGTAATGGCTACAGTAGACAATATAATACACCAAAATCACAAATTACAGCCTCAGACTATTTCGTTGAATCAATGCCTCTCCGCTTAACATTAGAGGCTTCACAGAAATAGTGTGCCGTAATTTGCAGTATTTGACAAATTATCATACTGTGTCCAGACCCTGCAGGTCCGTACAAAATTCAATAAACCTTTTAATCTCATATGGATTTCTCAAGGCCTTTTCAAAGCTGCACTGAGGGGTTAAGAAGATCTCAGCAATTTGCAAAAGAAAAAAACAACTTAAAATTGTGCATGGTTATTTCAAATATAAAATTACACAAAACAAAAGTTTTGTTGCTTCTAAGTGGAAGATTTTAGTTTTAAATATAATGGTGGGGTCAGTCATTCTGGAGAAAGATAGTTGATTGTCGAGTCTCATTCCCAGGGAGCACGAACGCCATCTGTTGTGTTGATTGGCCCACTGTGAGCCACTTTATTTGACATTTACCACAAAGCGTTAGTATTCAACAACCTGGGAATGAGACTCAATAATCTCAATCTCAATTCTCCAAAATGACTGACCCCACCTTTAACTTAAGATAATGAAACCTCAGAGCATCACTCACAGTTTAATTGTGGGGTAACCACGGACACCGAACTCTGACGCCATTCCTGCAACATGAAAAAAAAACATTCAGTATCTCAAACAAAAAATAATCATAGTAAAATCTGGAGGTTTTATGTCTCCTGTTGTCAGCTTCTCACAGGGTTCAAACGCACTATTAAAACAGTGTAAGCTCAGGAAAAAGCATCTCAAATATTTATGTTCAAAAGAACAGTTTATCATTTTGGGACTTACACATAATGACTTTCTTGTTGATACTCTTGTAGAAGATTGAAACCACTCTCACGTTGCTAGTTACCCTCTTGCTTGTTAGCTTTGGACAGAGCCAAAATGAAAATGTTGAACTATTCTTTTAAAAGCCCAGTGGATTATGATGCAACATTATTCTAAGTTTACTGGTACAACACATATTTAACTGTATGATTATTGTGGCAAAAAATATTGCCATAACAACAACAACTGGAGATGTCATGATAATGTCACAATAACCATAACATGGACTTATATTTATGGTGCTTTTAATAACACCTGTGAGCCTTTTGCATACAGGACACCATCATGTTGTTGAACAATACAGTCAATTAGGTTGAATCTTTGTCTCCAGCACATGAAATAATCACCTGAGGGACAAAGAGGCTCCAAGGGAAGACATTAAAGTACTTTATCATGTGCTCACCAGAGTAAGCAGTGGCATCCATCTTTCCCACGCGGACCGGCGACCCAGAGCTCTTCAGCTCAGCTCCCACATCATGCCATACTGGCTCTAGTTTTTTACAGTAGCCGCACCACGGTGCGTAGAACTGGAAATAACCAGGAGAAGAAAGCAATGTTTAGATCAGGTGCAACATACTATCAGCATTTCAATATAATGTATAAATCACACAAAATATAACATTTATATAAAGTCTATAGTCTTTTAGAGTTATACACATATTTTTGTACATTACTGTGATGAATTCGGTGTTTAGGCCAGGGTTGTTTTTTTTACTAACACTTCACTTTACACCTGGTAAAATACTACATTTTACTACACACAACTTTAGTTCTACCTTATTGGACAATGGGACTTTTAAAAGCACAACAATAAATCAAATGAAATGTAAAGTGGTTGTTTAATACTGTGTGCTTCTACTGAAATAGATTGAAATTATTTTCTTGCCTATTGCTTTAAAAGTGTTTTGAGAGCTTTGCTGTGTTGTTGCCACTATAGTTCTTTAAAAGACCCCCTGATGTAATCTCTGAAATAGGTGTTTTAAGCTCAAAATGACAATGAAACGTTGTCACAGCTGTAGCTGGGTCCATACGGCTGCTAACACAGGTGTTACAAATGATAGTAATTAAGGTTCTGTCCCTGATATTGTGCATGTTGGCCTACTGGAAAGGCTCTGCTACACTAAATGTGACCTTAATTAGTATCACTGGTAACACCTGTGTTTAGCCTACTAGTTTTTTACTTAAAGCTGAATTAATTGTTTTTGGGGGCACAGATTCATTATGAAAAGCTAATAGACACGCAGCCATGTCATCATATACCTTATACACACACACACCTTGTAAACCTGCTATAGCTTACGTGTTGGCAAACAATTTCCTATTTGCACATCCAGCACTCATAGAGCAACATTATTATTGATTGGATCCATAGTTCTGGCTACCTGACAAATATAAGACCAATATGCACTCTTTTTTTAGCTCTGTTTGGTCTTGACTGCTCTAAGCTGCTTAATACTCCACTACATTCACCAGCCACTCGCTAACTTTGTCCTTCTGCTGTTTAGCACTGGGTCGATAGTGAAACACTGGGTTCATTGTTTGATTTGTCGTATGGCTTTTGGTGTTTTTGCTGCAAACAGCTGCCAAGGCCTTCAGATAACAGGGCTGACGAGAGCGGTGAAACTAAACCATATAGTTAAAGTGCTGTAAAGCCAAAACGATAAGCTAAATCTCCGGAAAAGAGCTGCAGAGTTGGCTGATGATTGACTTAATGACTGGAAAATACACTTTATACACATTTACATTTGATCCATTGATATAAACATACTGATTAGTGGTGGATTTGGCCAATTTGCTTTTAATTTAAACTTTTTGAACACCTTCCATATCCTCATATTTGAGTTCAGTTTAAGAAATAACAATAACGTGTGCAGAAGAAAAAATAACATCACCAATTAACATAGTACTGAAACTTCCCAGCATGAGGACTCACTCCTGCAACTGGGAGTGAAACTCCGGACCCAGACACAAACTCTGATATAAACCCCTTCGAGCCCCCTGGCTTTGCCCAGCATGCATGACTTCTCATTCACAGAGGACAGTCTGCACACTCCCTCCGGCCCCCACCCTCCTACTCTACTACATCCCATCATGACTGCTCTGCCACTTCCGCAAGGGATGATCCAGACAGTGGCGTGCTGGATATAAAGTAAAGCATAGCTGAATGGATCCAGACTGGTTGTGTGTGTGTGTGTGTGTGTAATGTCAGACTCACATCAACCAGCCAGACGTCGTTCACTCTTGTTTCTTTGAATCTGTCACAAAAAAAATAATTAATGACATTTTAGCCATTTTAGTGAATCATATACTATATACAAGACAGAAGAAGGATTATTATTCAAAGTATGTGGATATGAGAAAAGTTATTTGTAAGAAGGTTGCAGAAAAAGCTGAAAGAGGCAAATTAGAGGATCTCACAAACACAAATACACAGGAGACATAATCTCTACAGACTTCTCACTGCAGGCATCACTGCGTTTTACTGCCTTAAATAACTCATATCTGCTTATTGTACGCATGCAGCTTGTGATAAATGTGACAAACCCTTAAAAAATAGGGTAAAACTGCATCAAACTAAATATGCACAAGTTACACAGATAAACCAGAATAACATGTTTTATTCTCTCTAACAGTGACAAGGCAGAACTAAGCATTGAATTGCATCCACATCAAGTCTGTTCTGCAAAACTTGGAAGTTGCATTGCAGCGTTATAATGTCACAGAGGCGGGAAGGTGACATGTTTCAACAGCACAGCAGTCAGGAGTGCATCACTTACGTGTCATCCAGATCTTCAACAAACGCAAGCACCGCTGAACTCAGGACAGCCGCTACAACTGTGACATGGAAACAGAAAGAAAGCACCGTATCTCAGCGTGAACATGAGCTGCACCGTCTCCATTCTGCTGCCCTCCAGCCTGAAACCTCATGACTGAAGCATCCCCAGCTAAAGCTGTCGTCCCAGCTAACTGGGCATCATTTTTTGCTTCACGGTTACAACTACGGGGAGCCTTAAGGGTCATTTTAACTAATGCCGTGACAACACGTATGGTCTAGTGTTAAATGTACATGAGATAAAAGAGTGAACGTACCTCCATAAAACAAGGAAGCTTTCACTTCTGCCATCGCTTCGAGTGGAAACAGCAAGCAGGAAATACAGCGGCTAAATCGGGACACTTTGCGCATGCGCGGGGTCACGCAGACTCCTGAAGGCGTCAGGCAGCAACATCTGCATATGACTTAATGTTAGTATTAAAACATTTTTATTACATTTAAAACCTCATAACTGCTGCTAAGATATTTATTTATATTTATATTTAAGTATTTATATTTAAGTTTCCAATAATATCAGTACTTTTTTTTTTTTTTTACTTTTTTTTATTTATTATCTCTAGACCTAAATTGACCACCATAGAATACTGTGGAAGATGTGATGAACATGGTAGCAGACCATGTAGTTTGTAAAATGTAATCATGTTTATTTATCAAAACATAATCTACATTTAACTGTATTAGAATAGGATAAAGGGATACTGGTCATACGGATACACACCACAAGGTGGTGCTCTCGGATTATTAACAGGGGCAACAGGCCAAATCCTCACTGCCTGTATCTTCTACTTACTGTAGGCAATGCTACTTTAAAAATAAAAGAAAACTCCTTTACAAGTAGATCCCTGCATTCAACATACTTATCAAGTATTATCATCAGCATGCAGGTATTAGAAGTACTCATTATTAGAAATGAGAGACAGTACTAAATGTAACTAAATGTAAATGTCCAAAACATTACTTAAGTATTTGTATGATTTAAAAGCAACATTCACTTAAAATATTATGCCATAAAAGGGTCTCTGTCTGTTTGTTACTCGCATGTTTTTGATTAATGCTGAATTAATGTGTATGTTTTACTGCTGTAGATGTTTAAGGCTGAGGGAGAGAAAACATTTAATCTGAAAAGTAACTAAAGTTGTCAGACAAATGTAGTGGAGTAAAAAGTACAGACTTTGTCTCTGAGATGTAGTGGAGCAGAACTATAAAGTTGCATAAATTACCACTGCTCATTTTTATGGCCAGATTAACTGGGGAGAGATTCCCCAGGGCAAATTTTTTACTGTTGGGCCCCTAACAACTGCCCCCCACATCTACCACCCTCTGTGCATAGTGAATGTGTCCTGCGGCCTCCACGCTCAGTGCACACAACAGACTACACATGGCAGCAACAAATACTTCTGGACTTAAAATACTCTTCCTGCCCCCAGATTTAGAAAATATGTAGCATGTGAGCAGAATATAAACTGAAATAGCCCCAAACAAATCTGCAAGGAATCAATTTTTCAAATTTTGACATGCAGTGAAGCCAGAGCTTTTGAGGCCCCTGTGTTTAGGCCCCTGAGCAATCGCCAGTGTCCTATCATTATACATCAATATTTATATAAATATTTGATTACCACTAATGATAGATACAAGCAGCAATTTAATGCAGTTGTCACCAAGGAGCAATTTCTAAACTGTTACTGCATTATACTTTTTAAATATGTTTTGTATGTAAAAGATTGATATGTAAAGTAACTATTAACGATAGCTTTCAGTTAAATGTGTTCCTTGTCTATCTAACGATGCTGTGTGACCACTAAATGTATTTCCATCATGAGTTCCACAAAAAAAAACATCACTTGACAGCACAATCTTTTATTGGAAACATTTGTTTTGAGAAGCTTTGAGAATAATAATTTGTATCTAATACTGTCTGAATAGCTTTAAAGTTATCCGTCATGTTACCAAATACACTTCAAAGGTTAAAATTAATCTTCATTCAATACTTCTGACACATTTACACATAAAAAGATCTCACAATTACACATAAAAAAATAAATGAAATTACAAGATTAGCTTCACAGAGTGTGTATAAAGTTTACAAAATAAATAAAAGCTTTTGTGTCATATTATTTTCATATTATCTGTCACATTGTGCTCCTCTGAATCCTCACACCCCATGCTGGCATAATGAGATAGTGATATGTTTTTAAAATGTCACTGAAACTGGAGTAAAAGCCATTGTGTTACTCCCTCCTGTCACCGCTGAGTACCGTCTAAGTCATATTTATAATGCATTCCCCGAGCCTGCAAAGCTGACAGAGGTCTTAATAGATATTTGATCTTTAAATATGAACTCAGGACTTGATAAACATGAAGCAGTTCTTTGAAAGAGAGACATTTTACCATTGAATCTTATTAATCTTTATATATATACCGTTTTCTACAAGGCTTTTCCCAATAAACTTTCCTATCCAAAGAATATCCATCAATTCAAGACGTCATTCTTGAAGAAAAGAGAAAAAGAAATAGTTTTGCACCCTGAGAAAGAACTGCACTTTCTCATGGGATGAATGGTGGTCATGACTGTGTTACTAAACAGACTCATGTGGGGGACCCGTCCTGTGGAAGCCTCGTGTGCCAAGTTTGTGAGGGTTGAATGCCTTTGTTTTTGGAAGGGGGCAGAGAAACTGCACACAAGCTGTTAGCCCACATTGTAAGGCAACAATGACTTCTGCATTAACAAAACTGTCAAAACAATGAATAAAGATAGGCTTCCTTACAGTTAGCCTATACAAATATACATTGGTTTGCCTTTCTTGCATTCAAAACACACACAAGGCTTCACTGAATTCCACAGTTTAAAAAGCGAGAAGTGAAAGCGACCTCTTAATGGTGGGAGGACCCATAAAACATACAAAAGGCATGAATTTTAATCAAGTGTTTGCCTATTTTCATACAACTTTCCTTTAGAAAGTTTTAGTACAGCAAGGTCGTTTGTCTTCTTTAGATAAATAGAGTACTTGTTCCCCCCCCGTTGCGGTGCCGAGCCGAAGACTCCTACATTCAGTAAGACTGCAGTCAGCTGTCTGACTGAACCCACACACGTCATCTTACAGAACGGGTCAGATATGACCTCAGTTGACCCATAAAACAAAAGCTTTCTTTGCCCCATTTTATCACTCATGATATGGCAACAAGAGCGGTGAGATGATTCAGTGATCCACATAATGGCAAGACTCAGTTCTCTAATAGATCAAATTATTTGTTTATGAACATAAAATAAGCAACATTACAAGCTACATTACTAACACATATTACATTATTATTAGACAACAACAAAAAACATCTCACCAACATCCAAAAAGGCAGCATTAAGTTTTTGCTTTGGAAAAATGGTAATGACACATATTTATTTCATATTCTTTAATCTGACAGTAGTCCAAGAACCAAGTGAGACTGTATATATAAAATGCTTATGCTAACACATTAGAATAAAGGCTTCATTATTCAGGTTTTTTTGTTTTATGCTAAATCAGGAAGAAGACATTTGCCCCTATGATTTCTATTTCTATTCTTTTACCTTAAGTGTTGGAAAAACTTGTGTGTCTGTTATCAAACGCAGTCTCACTTGGACCTTAGGCTACATTCATACTACAAACCCACCACAAGCAGAACTGAAAAGATCAAATTCTGTGTTATTTGTGCATGAAAAAAAAACAGATCTTAGTCACATTTTAGCAAACATCTGAATTGGGCCACTCGTGCCTGCAGGGTGAATGTAGCCTGGAGTACTCTCACACCAAAGCACCGACTGCATATGACAGCAACAAAACAGGAATTATCCATCCTTTTAAGCTGGTATTTTACAAACAAAAAGGTTCCTAAATGCTGGTGGAAATTGCACTATGAACAAACATCATACATCGAGCTTCATGACAGCTTCCTGTGTTCCCGCAGGAATAAAACACTAGAGTGGTAACACTGTGAGTAACACTTCAGGCAGCAGTTTAAATGAGAAAACAACAGGCTTTGCAGATGCATCATCTCCTAGCCAACCAGGCCCGATCATGGAGGTCCACTGGAGAATGAATGCGAAACACAAAACAACAGAGATGTGATTCTGGAGTAACAGTGAACGGTCCAATACTGTAAATTTGTTTCCAAATGTAGGTTGATGTGCAGCCCTCTACCCTCTGCTTGCATTCACAGTCAAAACCATGGACACTGATGTGTTTGATGCTATTTCAATTCTTCTGAAGAGGCCAAGCTGCAACCTCTCCATCAGCCGAAGGATTGACAGACCTCCAGGTTGTGTTACAACACCTGAAAGCCAGTCAGTATTTTTCCCGACTTTCCTTTTTTTTCACTCAAGTAAGGCTATGAATGAGGCACACCGGTGACGTCGCTTAAAGTGGCAAAAAACAAAGTGGAGGTTTTTAGAATAAGCAGCATTTACTTGGAGCAGCTATGTGCAACGTTGCATAGCTAGGTTCCATTTAAGAGTACATTTTCCTCAATGATAGCGTCATATGTCCATCAGCGGGCATCAGTTCCTCATTCCAGGATGTCAGTTTCAAATGGGACCAGATGGTAGTAGGAGAGGTTGGTGACATACGCTTCTGTTTCCTCGTCACACACATCTGCTTCCATCGGCAAAAACTCTGTTCCGTCCTCATATCTGTCAATAAAATGAAAGACACATTACTCCAAAGGCAGGATGAATCTGTGTAGTGTAACGAAAAGGAATCAAAAGTGTGATGCATTTGATTTAACGCCTTGCGTTAATTGTCAGCATCAACCCATAGACTTTATTTACCAGTACAAGGTCAGAGCACTGCAGTGGTAAATGGTAATTCAGCTGTTTAAGAGTTATGTAAAGTCTTGTTTTGTGTGAAGTACCAAGAGGAATGTGTTCCTCTTTTACTTCCTATGCACACCCAGGGAAGGAAGAGGTGCACAGACACACTTCCTGTGGGGGTGGAGGGGTCCTGGGGTTGGGTCACATTCAAGGACTTCAACACACTTACTGTACTCTCAAGAGCAAATACTGAAATATTTGTGGAAAACAAGCAGGTCATTTGTATTTCACTGCAACCAACCTGCTGGCTCATAGCAAAAAAAATACTATATACTCACGTATGTTCCACAGAGTCGGTGGATGAGGGTCTCTCTTTTTCTTCGGGGAGACTGTGATCAAATACGATGGTTTCCGTATTGGCCAGACAGAATCCATTGGACCGCATGATTTCTAAAAAGGTACAGAGTGCGATATTTGATGAGCTGTTAGGTCATTGTGACATAAGGGGTGACAACAGTGGCGCCATCTTTGTGTTACCAAAGAATACTAGATATGTACCTGATATCTTGATTGGACTCTGAAAGCACGGCTGGATTCGGTGGACTTTGTCATTCCTCAGCACCTGGTCCAGCGGTGATCGCTCGAAGAAAGTCAACATCACCTCTGACCTCGAATACTGTGGAGTCAGGTTGTTAGTCATTTAGCCCACATAGCTGTAAGTTTCCACACATCTACCTTTTACCCCCAAGCATGAGGTATAATAAAAATATTTGAATGCAGAGTGAACATGCAAATAAAGTGATATAAAATATCGTTTTTAAGGGTAAACGACCAACCTTGCATGGCATATTGATCGCATTCTTCAGTAGTCTTTCCACCTCGTTCAATTTCTCCTCTATGTCGTTTGCCTCTTTGATTTTTACAAGCCCTGAAACAAAACAAATATGGATTTCACAAAAATATTTACATTTACAATACACACGGTTTATTACAAATTGTGCAATCTATTGTAATTCAATACACCAGTTTTGTCATTAATCCTACCTTTGGGTTGTTTTTGTGTATAACCTTTACAATTTGTTGTGACCATGTCAGAGAAGTGTATGTTTTTTCATGTTACAATCCTTTTTTTAATGTAATTTTACATTGTTGTTTTCAACCTGCAGACCTATTGCAACATTATCTAATATAAAATAACACTGGTGGACAAAACATGAAGTGCCCTCTATGGTGGCCCAATGCATGTGCAAGAAAAAGTGTGCTCTAGGATACACTGGAGAACATGCGGGGCAATGCCATATAGGCTGCCTGACATCATAGAAAAGCGTTTTTGAGACTGTTTCACCATAAATACATCACAACTATCTGTGTGCTGGAGCCCCACCACACGTAGCTGGTGCCCTTTTTATATATTTTTCTTTCTCTCTGCCCCTTAGGAAGCCTGATTCCACTCTGCAATACAACAACTACAGCCTAGACAATAAGAAAAAATATTTTTAAATATATAAAAAATCAAAACTGAACAAAAGAGTCCAAAAAAACTAGAACGCAATAAAAATGTTTAGTATAACAATTTCTGTGCCGGTGCGATAAAAAAAAGGGCAGCTGCTATGACCTTTATTGCCATCAGACTGTTATCTGTCCACAGGGTCAGGACACAAAAAGCCAGACAGGTCTGAATTTATCCCTCGTCTGGAAAAAGGTTCCCACCAATCCAAGCGAAAAGGTAGTCTGTTATAATACAGTAACCTTTTTATAAACAATGCTCGCTGATATTTACCTCAAGTAGGAGAAGAAAAAAAAACAGACTACTTATCATTGTGTTTAGAACAAGAACACAGAGCACAGAATAAAGTGTCAGTGTGACTGCAAACATTTGTACAAGAGCAGTAATAACGGAGGAAAGTAATAACAGTGGAACAATGTCTGTGATTACATGTTAATCCTGCAGAAAACTAGGAATGCAATTTAAGAGGCAGTGGGAGTGTACAATCAGCACTTTCAAGAAGACAAGACTGCCGCCCATGTGAGCGAGCAGTCAGCAAAGCATCATTTACTGTCACGCTGACAAAGGGATGTGGTGGGGAGAATAATGATGAAGACTGCAGCCACACTGACGAGGCTCTGTCTGATGTAAGTGGTACAGACCAAACCAAGTCACACAGCGGTTGCCGTTACATGGAAGTACTGAGTAAGAGAGCCTAAAGCAACACTATGCACAGTCAGCTTCATCCATTTATAATGGCCAGCAGTGATGACATCATACCCACAGGGAGGTGAAGAGTGATTGGGCTGTTAAATCATCACTAAGAACCAAGTGAGACTCCCGCCCAGTCTGAACCTCAGACTGCCTCTGGATCATGTTCTTTTATTAAACTTACAAAGTCCCTTTAAGACCTTTTCGTCAGTGTCAAATCATCCATGTTTAAGGATTATATTATATTTGTCATAACCGCAAAACATAACAGCTGTGAGTCAGGTTTTTAATAAGCAGTAAGCAATGTGGTCCCCCTTGACTTTACCTTTTCAATGGTTGTGCGTATGTGTTGCTAAATGAAGGCAACTGTACAACACACAAGGATACAAGGTAATTTAATTAATTTTACAACACAGGATTGTATAATGAAATTCAGGCCTTCCCATGTATGCTATATAACAAAAAATGATTATCTACAAAAATTGTTAAGAATATTGGAAACCATTCATTTGATATATGTTATAGTGCAGAGTTTGCACCATTTTGTGAAATGGTTGATTCTCATGTTTGATTCAGAGATAGAGCCTTGACAAGCTTCAAGTCAGTGTCAGTTAACAGCATCTTAAACGGAAACAAAGCCTGGATGATAACTTTGCCGCAGAGACTATAAACCACACCCAGTCATGTAAGTTGTTATCCTTGTACACAGATTAGTTAAAAAAAAAAGTTTATGCCATGGAGGCCGCTAACGTTAGGAATGAAGCACAAACAAGTGCACATTACTTATTTATTAGGTTTAGGCACACAGCGCAACCCAGGGTGCACGTGGGGATGAACAAAGTGGGATGAGGAAGAATGTATTATCAGAGGGTGTGTTAGGTGACAATCATCACAAGCTCTCTAATCACCTTGAAAGGCTGTTTTTCTACACTATAACATTCAGACAGTTTGCTCATGTGGAAAGTCCGGAGGAGAGCGTCCCGAGAGGAAACACATAGAGTTGGAAGTAAAAATGTTTAGCAGACCAAATATACTACCATAAGCAGATAATGTTTTTCTTTTTAATTCATATTTCTGGACACACTGAAAATTCAGTGGTCATCATGTCTTGTGTAAGTATGCATGCTTTTTACTGCAGGCTGTGTAGAATAAAGATCTGTTTGATGTGAAAAAGAGAAGTATGGTGCTTATTCTTTCACAGGAAATTGAAGGTTGTGTAAGACTTAATCGTGGTAACCACAGTGAATCTTCTGTGTGTGATCACAATTTGATGATGTACAATTCCAATTAGAAACAGCAGGTCCAACACATACCTGCTGCTATTAGAAGGATATCAATTTTAATCAGCTGCATTTTCATATAAGCAAGCTGTTGTGGATGACAGATGCTGGTTAGAATCAGATATTGATCTCTATTCTGCATTCTGCCAAAGAATGCCCAATGATTGAAGTTAAAACAGTGAATAAAATGGGTTTGGGGGGATTTTGAAGAGGTTAATGTGGGTCTCCTCCATCAAAATAAAGTGTCAGAAAAGACACAAGCCTCCAGTGTGCACTGCTGACTCGGTCCAAGCAGGCGGACGGTACAAAATGATCAATCTAGATAACAAAATTGCAGTGCACCGCTGGATTGCCAGTGACAGCCCTCCTACTTCACCTGTCCTCCCACTGTGGCACACGCTAAATCACCAGTTTAATCTCCAAAACCTATGAAAAATATTCATCTGTGTATATATTTCATCTCAGATTTGCTATGTTTGTTACAATTACAGGGTTGTCCCCTGTAAAAAGTCTTCAAAGACACAAAATGCATGTTTTTTCCTACCAGGGTCCCTGAGTGTATTTCTTCCAGTTTCCTGTAAAAGAGTTTATTTCCGGCATGGAGGTCCTGCCTACAGTGGCGCTTATTCAACATTTGCTGTCTTCTTTCTGAGATTATCCATTCAGCCCCTAATAAGTCAAAGTGTTTTCTACAAGCACTTCATTTGGCTTCAGAGAATATTATCTTGCTGCAAAATTTATTTCACCAGACAGTGCTTTAGGTTGTTTTTTTAATCGCCTTTATTCTTAATCATCTGCTTTTTGGAGGATCAGCTTATTTATCTGCTTAGAGCAACAAGTTGGTAAAAATGTAACAATAACAGTATTTACATAGATGCCATATGGAATTTTAGCATGTGCCCGCCTCATAATTTTCATAATTGCACTCTAAAGTTACCCGTCTGTTAGTTCTGTGACAACATGTCATGTTGACAAGCCACTTCATCCATTAGCTGAAATAACACAGTAGCAGAAGGGACTCAACTGTGTTCAAGTCATCTTCAAACACATTATCTAAACAGTCATCAGATGTTGTAAGCACAAGCTATTTCACAGCTATCTTCTGCAGGGATCTGATAAGCACATGTCAGCAGCCATACCATCTGTCAACATCTAACCTCTAACTCTCCACAGTTTCGTAACAATTTTATTTTTGGATGCCTCAGTCAACAAGACGAGGACATCAAACCTCAGTGTGCATCCATGTCCATGAGAAGGTCAGACTATGTTACACGCATTTCTTGTACCCGGTGTGTACGAGTACAAATACTGTCTGTGGCTGTGTGCCCAAAATCAATTCGCTACCTACTATATTCACTTAATGGCATTTTATGTAAGTTTCCATTTTGTAACAGTAAAATCAATACCATGACCACATTCCAAAAAATGGAATGACTAACCCAATTAAAAAGCTTTAAAGCTGCTGGTAAATGTATTTTGTTACTTTTAGACAGAGCCGGGCTAGCTGTTTTCCTCCTGTCTCCAGTCTTTATGCTAAGCTAAGCTAACCGACTGCTGGTTGTAGCTTCATATTTAACAGACAGATATGAGAGTGGTATAGATTTTCTCGGCTTCCAGCAAGAAAGTCCATAAGCATATTTCCCCAAAATGTCAAACTATTCCTTTAATACTGGCAATATGTAAATGTCAAACAGTGCTATGATGAACCAACTGAAATGATGATTCATAAAGTATTCTGGTGTGTTTCTTAAGGTGTAACAGAGGGAGTGTTTTTGGACAAAGCCTGTGTCGATGCGCCTCTGTGGAATCTCACATGGAGCGTGAGTAATCACTTCCTGTATGTGTTCACCCTGGGGTCACATGTAAGGTAAGTGTTACAGGGCCTTCGCAGACCAGAGGGACTAAATATGGTCTGCCCACTCCTCTCCCAGTCACCCTCTCTCTCTCTCATCATGACATCAGTCTGAAAGCTCTGCACGCCTTCCTTGTTGCCTAGGCGCAGCACAGAAACAGGAAAACATGAGCAGAACTGGAGCAAAGTGGACTGAGAAAGGCCAGAGCTCCACTTTTTCACAGGGACTTTTAATCTGAGTGGCAATTAGAAGGGATGCAAATGAAATATTGAACAAAGGTAGGAATTAAGGGAAAAGCCATTAGGGGAATGTTATTAGCCCTGTGGCTTACTATCCATCAATGAAACTGTCAAACCAGATCCAGTCACTGAAGTAACATGGATGTCCCCTTCAGTGCTGATATCACAGTTTCATTTGACTGTTAGCTGTAAACAGACTATAAAGGGTGACAGACAGTAAAAAAAGAAGTGAAAAGTGAGTCATGAGATCCGAAATGTCTCTTCCCAAAATGCACTGCACATTGCACTGGCAGCGGCCAAGCAGCGAGCTGTCAACAACATCGTCAGCTATTTCAGTGCATGGGCAGGAAGCAAAGCTTTCCAGTCGCCACTAAAGGGATGTTTCCAAAACATTCATATAGGCTCAGTGAGTAAAGACAAAAGGGAAGTGCCAAGGAGGCTGTGTGGGGGGATCATACACACAGAACCAGCTGGGAGCTCTGCCAAAACCTATTGGCAGTGCCACAACACCACGGTGTCAAAGATCCAGACCCTGAGGGCCAAAGGATTGAGCTACATGGCAAAAGACTGCCCTCTACAAAGCCCTGCCAAAACCTTTGCTGTAGAGTTTTACCAGATGGCACTGGCAGAAGACTTTTTGATTAATTATAACCTTTCAAGCTTTCAATGTCATGTTTCATATGCTCAAAGTAGAACCACGTAGGCAGGTCAAGGAATCAGGCATCTTAACCTTGAACTGTTTTAAGAAAACCAAATTTTAGATTTAGATGATGTGTTACTGTCAACTGTGATACGTGTTAAATGTAAATTTTAGCCAAATGCTGGGGCAACACCAAGAACTGACACCTCACATCTGGATATCACAGCCTTAGTCTTTTCTCTGCAAATACTGAATGAGATATGAGGCCTCAGAACTGAGGTTCGTTCTGAGCACCACACAATTACTGCTCAAATGGCCCAGTAACATGCACTTCTCTTAAAGAATTATGATGCGTCAGATGCAGGGAGCAAATTTGCACAAGTCAATGTTGGTCTTTTCGGTGTTTTCCCATGGGGAATCCAAGTTTCGAGCCACAGAGAGATGAAAGCAGACCTTACAGACCATAGAGCCTTTTAGTTCCCAAATATTGACGAGGATTAGAAACGTGCTGTCAGCATGTTGGTGTTGTGGTCTGCAGGCTGTGTGTGACATCCAAAAGTGGACTTTGTTAAATATTAACCTGTCCAAACAAAGGCATGCAAGTGTGCTATGTTCAGATTAGCCCTAACCTTCAGTGATTATGTTGACTATGTTTCCCTTCTTTTATTTTGCTGCCCTGAACTTGTAAGTGGAGTTATACAAGCGCCATCTATCTATAGCAGCTGAGGTATGTGGAAAGAAATGCTTTTATGGTTCTCACTTATGCATTTGGAAAACTTTTATGCAGCTGGTTAGACAACAGGATCTGACTGTAATCCACAAAAATGCAAAGAAAAAAATAATTTCTCAAAATGTTCCTACACTATTGAGAACATTTTCCTGATATGGTAGAGCCAAAGGTGCAAACCCTAAAAGTCCAAAACAGTGATCAGTCAGAGCAATCCAACAAAAGACAATGTGGATAAATCACGTTCATCAAGCCAATTCTCCAATCGGAAAACAATCGCAACAAGATGACAAAATCAAAAGAGAGAGCCAGTCGAACCTCAAACCATGAAGAACAATGCAGAAAAACATGATGGAAATGTGATATTTCTGTTTATTTTATGTAAGAAACTTAACATCAGATCTGTGTGTAGCAATTATGGATGCATATGTATTAAAGAGCCCTGAGCGATGAGGAGACTGTCAGACCCAGAACAGCTGATTAGTCATGAGTTAAATGTTTGTTACCTAAGAATCTATTCTGAAAAAGTGTTTCCATCTCCTGATGAGGAAGTATTTTTTTTTTTTTTTTTTTTTTTTTTAGTTTCCATCAACCTTTTATAATGTGATACTTCAAAATGTGCTTAAATATACATTGATGGAAGTCATTTGATCGACAGAAACTTAATCTACAATAATTTAGATATTTTATTATTTTATCATGCAAAAATGCCAAAGAGTTTCTTCTCTCCATCATCACTTGCAACCCTAGAAAACACAGTAGTGTAGAGGAAGAGAAAGTTGAGGGGGGCCACCTCCTGTGCATATGGCCCCATAATTTGCAGCTACGCCCCTGACCAGAATGTAACCCTAAAAATGTATATTAATAGTTGTGGTATTTTTGATACTCTTGTTTCTGTATTAAAAGCTAAGTCATCATGTCCTGCCACAGCTGTCACGTGCAATCACTTCCCCTTCATACCCACCTTCTATCAGTGGACATTTGGAGAGGTCTCTTCTGTCCTCAGGGAAGGACTCTACCAGTCTTTTAAACAGCCGCCCCATATCGGAATAACTCCGATGCAAGTATAAAATGTTCCTGTCAGACCACTCTGTCCTTATCTCGAAAAACTCCTCTTCCTCTCCCCGCTGGCTGATGATGAGCCTCCGGATCCCGTTGACCCAGCAGTCCCGGACAAACATGTTGACCAGCGACGTGCCTTCAAACACAGCCGATGCCATTCCTCAGACGTCAGTCCAGCATGCTGGGGCGGGCAGATGAAGTCGAGGAGGCCACAGAAATTTGGAAATAAAAAAGAAAAAATGAATGGCGAACAAGGAAAGACAACTTCGGTAACTTTCTCGGTCCGCCTGCTCCGAGCGGCAGCTGTGCGTAAACAGGAGGAGAATGATGATCGCTCAGCCCATCACAGGCGTAATCTCAAACGTGGCATGATTTGAGAAAAAAATAGACACAGAGGTTGTTGTTTTTTTGTTTTTTTTTGTCAGAGATACCGCCCCCGAAAAATAGCTCTGGCAATATCGAACCAGCGTTTTTTTTTTTTTTTTCCCCCAAAGAAAATTGCTACATCTCTCACAGTGAAGTCCCTCCTCCAGTCTGCCGTTAGTTTCCTAAATCCAGAACATTTCACTTCTCACTGTCTGGATTGCTCTTCTTTCAGCACAGTTTCCTCCCCTCTCCTTCCTCCCTCCCTCCTTCCTTCCTTCCTCCCTCCTTGACAACAGGGTATTATTATGCAAAGAATGCACAGGGCTGCAAACGCAAAACTGCCCATCTCCTTATTTATAATCAGGAGAAATTGCTTATTTTCTTCTTTTTTTTTTCTTTAGTTAAATATAGTTTTTATTAACGCTGGATTTGGTGCCTTTGCCACATGGTTCCTTAAAATCAGTACACTTAATCTTCAAATAAGATGTTTGGAGATAACCACAGGAAAAAACTCTGAGAAGAAGCTGCTGACATGCAATCTCATGAAGCTCAACAACTGGATTCCAGCTGTTCTTCTGCCAGCTAAGGGGCATTAATATTTGCAAGATTGTCCATTTCTGACCTCACATAAGTCATGTCTTCACAAAATACCAGTATTTTAGCCAATTTTTAGCCACAGCACAAAGAAAATGCACTGCTGCCACATTATTTGCCTCCTTTTAGAGACACCAAAAAAAGAATAAGAATCCAGTTTTCTCTGAATTGCTCAATTGAGCAGCACACTAATGTTTCACTGAATGGAGAGGCAGAGACCAGTAAAAGAGCTTTACAGGAAGCCATGGCCCAGTCAAGTAATGAGGATTCAGCTGTAATTAACTACTGTATACAGTAGTTACTGTATACAGTAGTTAATGGGAAGGGGACTGTCTGCAAACTGTTATTGTAAAAGCAATTCATAACGATGCAGTTCAGGAAATAGCATGTTAATTGCCAGTAAAAGGAAGCTGTAAATTTACTGGACAGACACGTAAATGCACATAAATTTGTAGAGAAAACAGAAAATTGTACTGTTGAGATCAGAGAAAGCGATCCTGCTGTAATGACCTCATTACGTTTTATGAGACAGGGCAGATGGTTGACGCAAAAGACTGCATTCATGCCCCTTCTGAGCTCGCAATCGCACCTCTGTGAGTGTTTTGGTCTCGCTATTGCAACTGTAAGGACTCCAAACAGGCTAATGAAGCCAGTCAGGGAAATATAAAGTTTAAATTTACCATATTTAAACTGTCCAAAGAGCTCTCATTCACATGTGACAGTTTCATATTCAGCTGTTTGGTTCCTGTTGCCAGTAAGTCAATGTCAAACTGTCTGCATTTAAAAGAATACACAAGTACATTTGTAGGAAGATCAAGACTCAGTGTGGGATTCTCAGTTCTCTGGAAGTTCCACATCATCAACCATATGTCGTATTCCCAGGAATTTACTGAGGTGTATACCGAAAGTGTTTTTTTCATATACATTATAGTGGAACTGTGTCTTGGGCATATCCAACCACTTGAAAAATAAAAAACAGATTTGTGGTCAGTGATCATAATCAATTCCTAATATCTCTATTTAAAATGCAGACTAGTCAGCATGTATGAATGCCCCTTTTCTTTTACTGATAACTGGTATTCAGAATGGAGATGAGATAAATTGCATAATGAATGAACTAAATCTTGCTTTATGAGAGTCATGTCTGAAGTAACACGCATGCCTAACACTAAACGTAAGTTGCAAACAGGCTTTTTAGTGTAGTTAAATGAATGACTATTTTGTGGTACTTTTGTGGTAAGTATATCAGATATTGAAAATTATATTAAAGGAGAGTGAGGCAAGAATGCTATGGAGCATTGCATGAATGCAAAATGATATGATCTTTCATCTCAGTGGTTGCTTACAACAAGAACATATCATATTACATAGAGTTTCTTGAGATAGTCGCAAAGTATCAACCATTAACCTGTATCACTGCAATAGCAGAAATTATACAATGGGAAGAAAATGACTGTGATGCACTGTAATAATAAAGTAGCTCAGACCTGCACTGAATGTCGACTTGTTATGTAACTGAGGTGTGAGAAGCAGTTTTATGCAAACCTTTTACAGAGGCAGTGCTAAATTGTCCTGAAAACTAGCCAAACATGGGCTATTTGCTGGTCTTTGGTACAAAAGCCTCGCCATTAAAATATAGATAGCGAGGGGCAGTAATGACTTCAGTGGACAGCTTCAAACAACCACAATCTTCTGACAAACATCAGACTGAATTCCAGAGAGAGACTGAAAAGATAAAAAAAAATCTATAGCAGCCAGTCAGCCAAACTTTCCAAAATGATCAATCTTTTGGTTTTCAATGAACAAAGATGAAAGTCTGCCAACTTATAGTTGCAAATTATTTACCACCCAGCTCTGCCAATTATTCTGAAAATTGTTTTCTTGGCACCACCTCCTGAGGTTTAATTAAACTGAAAAGTAGCTTTGCATCTGAAAGGTTAAATTACATTACATTGGTCGTATCTTGAGCAAAATGCCTACATCAACATGTTAATATACCTACAATGATGACGTTAACATGCTCTTTAGCAGGTATTAAATTTATCATGGTTAACATGTTGGCACACTAACATTTTGGCGCACAGCACAAATTATTAATAGTTTATTTGTTATTATGAGTTATTTGTCATCAATTTTGCATTTGGTCATGACCAAAACGCTGGACAAATTAAAAAATGATCTTATGATGGTGCCAGATGAAAAGTCTGGGGTTCACCAAAGACATTAAGATTAATCCTTGGGGCACCATGAGTATATGCAACAAATTTCAAGGCAATGTATTGAATAGTTCATGAGATATTTCACTGAAAAATAAAAATGTCAACCTCATGGTGCTGCTGGATGAACAGTCAGGGGATCACAAAAGTCAGGATTCATCCTCCGGGCATAACGAGTGTCTGCAGTCAAAGCAATCCATCCAGTAGCTGTTGAGATATTTCAGTCTGGAGCAAAGTGGTGGATAGCCCATCTAAAACTTTTAAGTATAGAAAATCTATAAAGCATGTTTCATTGTGAAATAATTTGTTTCTTACTGACAATATAATTTGATTTTTTGTGTGGAATGCGGAGATGCTATATGCTGCACATTACATTTTTAACACAAATGATTAGAGAATGATTGTATTACACAGAGAAACCGCTTCAGTATTATCAGAAAACCCCCTTCTCCCTCTGTGTAATAATAGGATCTGTCTGTTTTGAGCAGGGCTTCAATCTGTGGTTTGGCCACATTTACACAGTCAGCACATTCTGTCTCAATACCTCATTCCAGTGTAATTCCTCTGAAAGAGTAAACTTTAAATGGAAAAATAGACTTTTGCCCACTCGTCCTTAAATGCTTTCTCATGCAGAATTCTAAACACATTTGTCTCTCATTACAACAAAGCCAATGCCAAAACTCTGTGGGGGGAAAAGTAAGAGAGCGAGAGGAATTGTTCAGGGTGGGTTTGTTTGAGGAGAGACTGATGTGTCACCAGATAGACGACAGTTTGTTTGTGTGCGCTCAAATCCTCTCAGGATAGAAAGATATATATAAAAAAGAAAAACACTCAAAATTGAGGAGGCATTTTGCTACTCTGCACTTTTAATGGACTAATTTAGGATTAGCAACTGGGTTAAGGTTAAAAATAAGAATTTGGATTAGTTTTAGATTAGCATAAGGATTCATTCAGGATTATCCCAGGATTAAGATTTGTATATGACCAAATTTATAAGGGTAGGAGTTATTTTCTAAGGGTTAGTTTTTTTGTTGCATAGACTTCACAACATCTTAAATTTGTATGGATTTAAAGAATAACATATGTGCTTCCAGTGTTAATGCTAGATTGGCTCCAACTTCATATTTAACAGATAGATATGAGAGTGAGTGATCATCTCTTTTATCGCTCAGCAAGAAAGTGAATGAGCATGTTTCCCAAAATGTTAAACTATTCCTTAAAGGTCCAGTGTTTAGGAAATGGAATGTAATATTAGTGTATAATCACCTGAATATAGGACATTTTGTGTTTTTGTTACCTTAAAATTAGATTTTTATCTACAAACGCTGCGGATCACCTTCCATGGAGTTTGCCATGTCGAACTACTATGTTTCTACAGTAGCCCAGAAAGGACAAACCAAACACTGGCTGTAGAGAGGGCCTTTTGTGTTTTTTGCAGGTTTCGTGGTCACTGTAATTTCTCCTATAACCCTTACAGCCTGTTCTCATTCCCAAAACGTCAAATACAGAAATCTTCAACTTTGACAGTGCTAAGAATATAAATGATATAGTTGGCATTTTAAGACTATTTTATGCCAATGATATAATGTAAAAAATAATAATGCAAGTGCATCCTCTTAAAGAGCAATGAACCTTTAATTCTTAAGAATATTCAGACATTAGATTAGGAATGTGAAAAACAATTATACTTAAATAAATATTAAACATTTGGCACAGGGATTAGACTAGACTCATTTCTTCCTTAACAGACAGTATAGTAATGGTACCCTGCTGTTTATTCTGGCATCATGTTGGCTAAAATGTTGGTAATTTCTTAAATAATAAGAAACTATTGTGACAGACGATAATTATATATGGTATATATTAGATAGTCGATAATGTAATTGTGACAGGCGAACTGAAAACTTGCAGTGACACATGCAGTAAGGTCTATCTATGTCTCTTAATCTAAAGGAGTTCTGATTAAGAGAGCCCTCTTTAGCCAGTAATGATTTCACTAATGAACCCCAATATCCTCACTCAGCAGTGTGTTTTGATGTCTTGGAAAGAACATTTTCTTAATATCATGGTGGATGTTTACCTTGTAACCTGGGTGGTGGACCTACAGCACAGTTAAAGACTGACATTCGGGGCTTTGATTATCGCCCAAGTAAAATTTTACACCCATGTTTAATTATACAGCTGAGAGGAGGAAAATGAGAGCTTCTGCATCTCCTGTTTTGTAATTTGTCACACCCTCAATGCCGAACTCTACCTCTGCCACACCCGAGATCTGCAGTGACGATGTTAACACAGATGTCTCCAATCAAGCTCCAAATGACATTAAAACCACCTGTGATGACAACAGACAAACTATAAGGCCAGTTTCAAAGTCAC